TATACTAACACACAATTTTCTCAACTTTGTTTAAACCTTAATAGAGATTAAACTGATATACTCATGATATACATCCACTTATTTCCACAATCTGGTTTAGTACTAAGTATTAAATAGTTCCCTCCAGTCGAGGGTCGGTTTTCTCCACTAAGGTTTAATGGCTGTTGCTTTATTTGGTTCATGAGTTAAGTACAGGGTCAAACAAAATAATCAAATCATGTAAAATTTATTTGTATTTTGTTATTTAAACATTCCCACTTAGACGTACATATCTACATAGTGTTTAGGTATCTATCTATACACTACGTAGATATGTATATATAAAAAACACTTTTTGGGTTTCCTGTAATATAAAAACTTGGACGATATTTCAAGACATACTTTTAGATTAACAATTTCTATTTTAATTATAACTTCAATATTATAATTTTTTATTTTAAATTTATACGATGACAATAACATGTTCACACCAGATGATTTTTTTACGAACTTCCATTCATAAAGAGCATGTTGGATTAGTCAAAATTTTAAATTACGAAAGGCGAATAATAAAAAGAAATGATGTTGAAGAACAGAGACAAAAAGTTTGCATGCTGAAACCTAGGACAAAATAAACGGTGATACGGCACACCGTTACTACTATGTACTCTGGTTTATCACGTAATGACGCTAGAACTTACGAGTACCTACTCACATCGGTGTCTCGCTAACGGTAACAAAACCGATCCTGTCCTCAATCAATTCTTCTAGACCTTTTTATCTTACTTTTTGTCATTGATACACAAAGAATAGTAGACAATATCACATATGTATTATCTATTCTTTGTCTTTGTCTTATAATGGGCTCAAGATGAGTAGCTAAAACACTAAAGTATTATTTGAAACATCAAAGATACCGCAACACTCAGACTCGAGACAATATAGAAAAATTCAGTATTATCAATAATCCAACCGGAAATCGAACTCAGGACCTCATAGATGACAACACCTTGAAACTGGGGTGCGAGCGAGTCGTCAACGGAGGTACTGTTAGTATAATTTTACCACGAAATTAGTAGCTATCTACGATCAAATTCAAATAGCGCAGTAAGCTTTTGTTCATACATTGCTTGCTCTCGGGAACGATTTTAAGCAGATCAACTTTACCTACTTCAACGGTCACGACCAAAATGAAAGATGTGACACTGTTCAAGGTTTAGTGAATGCATTTCAATCCGAGTGCACTCGAGTATTGTGAATGTTGACACAGGCGCTTCCGATCTGCCGCGTCATCACGCTGGCTCTTAACCACGGCCCAATCGTCACTTGACCGCATCTATCTCTATTCTATGATAGATTATTTAATAGGTTGGGGAACAAGTTTCTTCGCATTTTAATAATAGCAATGTTAGCGTTAAAAAAATCATAAGCGGTTGTGACTAACACTAAATTTTCTCATAATTTCTTTATTTTTCTAGGAAGTTATTTATATAACAATATAAATAAACATTTATCTATCTATAAGCATAACAAAAGAAAAGCTAAATTGTCAATTCAGAACTGGCTACAACAATTTGATTACGATGCCACAGAAAATCTGCTACTTGTAGTCTCATTATTACGATCATTTTTTATATGTATTGGGTTTATCAAGCACAGACATACACACACGAACACACACACACACACACGCACACACACATACACTCACACCTCGCATGCGCGCTCAAATTGTAATAATTAAGTAATATTTTCTTATAACTACATATAGGTTTATTTTTTTGATGTGGGGGCCTGGTGATCTGCAATTCAGGCCATAATCGGTTCCTTCGCAGACTCCAGTCTCTCACAAAGGTAATTCTGGTAATTGAAACTCTGTACTTCAACCTATTTACTACCTTTGTGATGAGAAAATAAATAAATAAAATAAAATAAAATAAATATGGAAAATTACTCTATTAATATACATACTCTGTGTGTAATTATGAATTACCTATTTAGAGAATAATTCAGACGCATTTCATGACAGCAAAAGAGGTACATAATAGCCTATTTATTTATTTATTTTCCAAAAACACTATTTCTATATTGTCTCCAGACGAATATGCGCTATATTTTATACCAGACGAGAGCTTTAAATATAGCGCATATTAGCAACAAAAAAATAGAATAGAAAAGGTTCACCATCAGGAAGATGTCATTCAAAATAAGTACATTTTAAAAGTATATTAAAATATTTGATTTTTTTTCCAAGAATCATGTACTACCTGCTTACCTATCTAATAATTTCTTCCTTTTATGTTACTCTGATTGACATAGTATAGGATTACTTTACTTAGGACTAATATACACATCAGTGACCAATTCTTACAAAAAGGTCAACACTATTAGCACAAATTGAGTGATATTCAACTTTCCTGATAATGGACAAACAATTGCGAGCTTATTAAAGCTTAAAGTTACTGGCACTTACTAATTCCTTTAAATATAACTCCAACAAGGTTATATACGTCGTTTGTAAAAATGTATCAAGCTAATATCAAAGTAGCCATTTACTGTAGCAACTAAGCAAATTTCCACAGTTGATTTTCACCTTTAATGTGTTCAGGGAGAGTGACCCCCACCTGACCGTCTAATCAACGTGTTCTAAGCTACATATATAAAAATTTTATTTTTGTAAATATTTACATACCTAAAAAGCTCAACTAGGTTTCTTACAGAGTTTGCTAGACTCCTGAGAGTAAATTCTCAATTATTGTAACATTTGACACAAATTTATGTTCCTAAAAATCGGAACTGGATATAATTTTAAGTAAATACCTACGTATGTCGCTGTTAACCAACCAAATCACTGTCGCCACAATCTTTATAAAATATTTCTAACTAAGTACCTATAACAGTTTCCATTTGCAGAGACTACATTAGTAACTGTTGAAATTACGCACGATGTTATTGGAAATGAAGATTCGTATTTATATAACACAAACACTAGAAACAGACGGCTTAAATTAAATGAATGCAAATTACTTTGTACACTCGAAAAGTAGTTCTCTGTGTAGGTGAGCGTTAAGCGTAGCCGCAGCCGAGGACAACTTATGGAATTTGTTAAAGTTCTAACTGTTGTGCTCCTTTGGTTTTATGCAAATTCAATGTTCTACGGAAATGCAATACCCAAGTAACTTCGACATTTATTCTAATACGTACCTGTCATTAAAAAGAAACTTATTCTGTGACATACATTTCTTGGTTGCAAAGTCACATGGTATAAATATTGATTCACACACAATGCTCTACTAGGAAGGTACTCCTAGACCTAGGTAATTGTTAATCATACCGTATACTTCATTACATAAAGACCTGTACTTAGGGGCAGACATAATGCTATAAAGCATTCTCTACCATCAACCGGAGAGTTTTGAATAGATAACATAGAAGAGTGGTGCAACAAACAGAAAAAAAAGCAAATATAAAATTTAGAATTTTTTCTTCATATCTAGATTAAGATTGATATCCAGCTGGTACATTTATATTATGCATGTTAAAAAGAAGGCTTTCTCTCACTGGTGGCTCGAATTGCATGAAACAAAAAATTGCTTTTACCCTCGTAGTTTCACCCAGGTTTTATTATGCTATCATTTCTGTAGTAGAAATACGGCTCCTGAATGTACATAGGTATTACAATAGTTTGACATAACTCCATTCAGGTTTATGAAAGCCTCCTCGATACGTACTCAAAATATGTCGTGATAAAACGACATCGAAAAAGCAGCAAAGTTTCCAGTAGTTTCTCTATGAAATCTAAGTACATTTAAAACGACACTCTTTTTGTTATTTTAAAAAAAAATAGGTTATGTTCGCTAATAAATTTTGAATGTTTCACAGCGAAATGACGATGTCATTACGTTACGCAATTGTCATCGCTCAAAATACCAGTTTTACTGCTGGATTATAAAACGTCCTTTACAGCTCCATTTGATTTGTAACACATTAAGGATCGGGTTTATGTCTCAATTTTACATTATAATAATAATCACTCGTAAATCTCATTGCGCGTTAAAGCCTATTAATCGAACACTATATTATCTATGAAAATTGAGAAATAGGTAAATAACCCATTTGACAACAAAAATAAACCAGCAGCCTACCGGGTAACTTTACCTACGTAATTGAACTTCATACAACAGCCATTAAACTGGAATTAATAAATAAATACGAGTATTACACAATATCACATACATTGTTCAGATTCCAAGATGAGTAGTCAAAGCCCCCGTATTATGGAGTATCTGAGACAACGAAAGTAACACAACACCCAGACCCGACACAATATAGAAAAGTTCATTTTCTACATTGACCCGACCGGGAATCTAACCCGGGACCTCAGAGATGGCGACACTTTGAAACCGGCGTGCGAACCACTCGGCTACACATAGAAAGTTAAAGCTATTGAAGCTACGCATAAGATTGTGTAGTACCTGGGAGCTTAGCATGATAAATTCGAGAAACACTGTCAACACCAAGCGACACCTTTTCTTGACAGTGACTCTCATCTATACTCGAGGGAAGCATTTACTTGAGAAAATGTTATGACTTAAGCAAATATTTTAACCAATAGACGAGAATTTTTATAAAGTAAGAAATGTAATAGCTACAATAATAGTTAGTATTCAATCAACAATTCTTACTTCGTTAATAAAAAATCGTAAAAATATCTCTTTGAATTATGACATTGTAAAGTAATTACTTCTCTTGACTATAGATAAGAGTGGGCGCAACCAGAAAAATTGACATTTACATGTAGACAAAACTTTCTCAAGTTCGTCATGCTAATCACTCTAGAATATTGGTTACGCGACCAATTTAAGAAAAGTAAACTAGATGTGAGGCCTGTAGGAATGAAACTAATGATTTTAAGTTTTGTTATTTGTTAGAAGCTTTGAAAGGTTTCAAAATATTCCTTCAAAGATATTAGTTTTTAATGGGTTTTATTAGGATGGATAAAGAGTAAAACAAAATTTTTATATTATATAATTCTTATATTTATAAATCGACCATACAGAAGCTTGAACAATACAAAACAGTTATATGATTATAAATTGTGCAACGAGTAAAATCTAAAGTTTGCATAAATGCATAAATAAAATGCGTTTACAAAACTCAAAAGTATAATATCAATTTGCGAGTCGCTAGCGCACCAGGCGAAGCTCTACATTAGCTTTTCTTAGAGAAGCAAAGAAATAGTAAAAATAATTTTACAACAAACATATATATCTTATTGAGATTTACAGAAAAACCACGCGCATTAAGGCACAAATTGGAACCTTCTGGTACGAGAACAAAAACATCAGTTGATATAAAGGCTATAGAGACTTCAACAACTACTATACTTTTACATCAAAGTAACACAATTTAATAACGCTTTTTCAACAATAAGGTTTGTACTTTCAGTGTATCATCAATATTCAAAACAAACACGTTAACAATCCTTGAAAAGATTACATAATATGTATTATATGTACCTTTCTATAATAACAGCACATAGATTACACACAATAAAAATAACAAGCACAAACATAATTAAGTTTATAAATTATATCAAATATTAGAGTATTACAAGGCCTATGTATTATGTATCAGTTTTGTTGCTTGTTTTTTGTAACGGAAGACTGAAATATTGTAAAAACTTACAAAGTATTAGTCTTATATATATAATTACAACGGCGACATATTGTATATTTATATCGGACTATATGCCTAATGTGACCAAGACCATATTAATTTAATCGGGATAGTCTACTGTCTGTCCGTTCTGCCCAGTTATGAGTTAAGTATTCCTTTTTAAATCACACCAAATAATTAATTTATTATTGATAATAAATACCATACGTTATGTTTGCCTACCCGAAAATTAAGTACCTGTCGAGAGTATTTTTAACTAACTGGAGTAAGAAACTGGACAAGACATTCTGAAATTAATTTGCTCTGCCGACAATTTCAAGTTATCTAATCACCATCATCATCACCACCCTTTTACGTCCCCATTGCAGGGGCTCGGGCCTTCCTTATGGATGGTTAAGGAGGATGGGCTGAGAATAATTTTTCTATATAGACTTCAACAACTACTATACTTTTACATCCATCCCATCCCATCCCGTACACCCATCCCGTGACCGACTCTTTGCGAAAGTTGCTTAACAACAACGATCGTGGGCAGCGGCGCTCTACGCCACCGAGCTACATAAGTTATCTCATGAATAACTCAAATTGTATATTATATTATTACTTGCTTTCTTTAAATTGAACGTCTCACTTAAAACTAATGGTTGTTAATGTAGCCCATCTTGAGGTTCAGATACGAAACTAGATAAACATGAGTGTTTGTAAGTTTTGGCAACAACAGGTAACAAATAATTTGACTATCCGTAATGTGAAATCATTAGTATATTTTTGATTTTTTGGGATATAAACTAATATAAAATAAAATTATAATATCATCGTCTTATCAAAAATGTCAACAAAATTACTAAAAGGAAAATGTTGCAGAATACCACGATGTTAACATTTAAAATACCTAAACGGTGGACGTAATCTTATATCTCAAGGGATTTCTATTAAATCAATTCCATACTAATGTACTCAGATTATAAAACAGAATATGCTCACTGACTAACACAAGTAAAAATAACATAAATCAGTGAATGTCCATTAACTTTAAGCACAGAAATTGTTCAGCGGAAACCTTTGGGGCTTATATGGTGCAAGTTAAAATGATATGCGAGTGTAAGCAAGGCGGTGCGATAATCGAATATAAGTAGAAAGAATTGCTCCAACCAATCAAGGGGCGTGATTCTTTCTACGACCTCATGTCAACGGGCCGAACGCATCAGACGTTCACACTGAGTAAGTAGATACTTTTTCTCTTGCTCGTCATACAAAAATATAACTTTCCCTGAACCGGAGGTAGGGAACATTCCTAGCACCTTCTTCTTGGCAGTGGGTATGTAAACGCCTTTGTTGACGGCTGTTGGCACATCGGGTATCTCAGTCCACAGGTATGTCCACACGATCTGGAGACATGTCAATGATTTAATAATCAATTCATACATCAGCTTCAGCATATACTGTAGAGCAGAGATTCCTACAGTGAATTGCGTGGAACCTACAAGTAAAATAGTCATTGTTCCCCGAAATCATTTATTTCTGCGATTCAGTTAAGTGTAGATAAAGTCGACATTGAATTGAAATTTGAACTTAAAAAAATTGATAAAACATTGCAACAATTTCATTCTTCTATTTGATTTAGTGTTCTATAAAACAAAAAGCATCGGGTCTTTAATTATCTTAAAAATTTGGGAAACGCATGCATATTTTTTACCGACATTTGTAAATCCAAAACTTCTATCTTTACAGCGTACCCTTTGCGGACATAAAAAATGTGTGTTAATTTATAATTTTATTATAAATAGACATTCGAATCTTTCATCACTCTCCACCTCCCAAAAATAAATATGTACAACAAATATATTAAATTTAAAAAAGGAAAGTACTATCGTGATATGTAGGGTACCAAGTTAATATTCAAATGAAAATAAATACGAACGAGATTACTATCTCGTCCGTTTTATTGGAAAGTAAGACTTGTTCAAACTTTCAAGTAATCCGACTAATGGATGTATATGAGAATGGCTTCACCGTACCCTGAAGTGAGTAGTTTCATGAAATATTTACGAGTTATCGAATATAAGTTATATAAGCGGTGAACATTTACCGTAAAGAATGTAAACAACATTTAGATAACCCTTTTCTATTTTAACTTAACGGATTAACTTGTATATAATTATTACAAACGAATAAATTAATTCCGCAATTCCATTAAAAGAAAAAAATGCCTCAATGAAGTAATCCAAACCGACTGTATAATTAGCATCGCCTAAGATTTTTCCTCTTGCAAATATTAGCACAACGAAAACCGCTAAGTTTATTACCGTAAATTAAGATAAAGAATTCTTTTCAGCTCTGGTTAGTGATCTAACTTAACATCATTGACTTTAAAGCGAAGCCTATATTTAACTACAGCTTCGTTGAGTCGGCATTTTCTTTTTCCGACATCTTGGAAAATCAACTAATTAACACAAAAATCTTAATGAATTATACACCAAAGTACTCTTTAAGACTCCATTGATTAATGAATGAATAATGTTCCGTAAAGTCATAGTCCGTGATTTATGCATTTTATACATTGCTCAGATTCAATTATAAGTATCTAAAGCCCCGTATTATAAAGTATCTGTGACAATGAAGGCCCCACAACGCCCAGACTCGAGACAATATAGACTCATTTTGTACATTTATCCGACCGGCAATCAAACCCGGGACCCTCAGAGATAGGTGACACCGGTGTGCGAACCACCCTGTCAATTCAAACTAATTCAGAAAAGTCGCGACGAAGTTTATGGTTAAAATTAAAAATGACACAGATATTTAATTAGAATGATTCCGTTTTACGTAATAAGCCTAAGATGTAATCTCATTGTTAATAATTCAAATTAGAAGTTTCTACTACTGATTAACTATTCAGACGAGAGCTATGAAGTATTGTATTTGAACTGTGTAAAAAATGTAAACGCCATCATACATACCTGCCACCCACCAAACACGTTGTTACGCTCGAGATATAGAAGTCTCTTGTCTGTACACATTACCACTTCTTTGTTAGGTATTACCCAAACGTGGGCCTCGTACATATCCGTGCTGACAAACTTGCCCTACACAAAATAAAACATTCAATAAAAATATATGAAGCTGCTTTGTTTAAATTCTCTTTGGATATTTTTTTTATGAATATCTTTTGAATAATGTATAATTTACATTGTAACTCTTAGTAATATCAACCCACTTGAAGCGGGTTTATGGAGAGATACGAAAGGTAATTTTGCTAAAAGATGTTTCCTGCCAATCAATAATCATGTTAAATATTTTTATGTCATTAAGTATTCGACAAAAGAAGATTACCTATGCCAAGTATGTTATAACTACATCAATTTCGAAACATTAAAATTCTACTAGATAGAAGGAACTCCCATTTACTACATACGCTTGTTTGTTTTTATGCTTCTGTTACTTTTTTGTGAGATAATATATAAATGCCATGGAAAAAGCTAATTAATTATTTGATTAAGGTTCGAAAAAGATGTAAAGGCAGACTTAATTTCATTAAATAATTAAATTTACTTTATTGTTATGGACTGAAATCTATTGATAATAGATTTTCTTTACCTTTTCTAGCTCAAATAACATCTTGTATCCTTCCGCTTGAAGTCGAGAATAGGGTCTGACTCCTGAATCAGCAGGTAGATATCTAGCTGCGCGCCGTTTTGTTACCTCTTCAGAAAGATCTGCCGCTCTATTTTCAATTAAAAAAACCATATTGATAGTGGATTAATTACAACAAGCTAAATACAGCAAAAGCAATGATGATATATAATCTTTGACGCATAGACTTCTGCTAACAGTTTTGTTTATCAACATTAAAATAAATCAAGATACAGTCAATATAAAAAAACATATACCTACTTATTAAGTTTAAAATATTTATTCATACGAAAAAATCATACTTTCTCCGTTTCCCATGAAAATCATCAAACGAACATACTTTAAGGTTATTATAGTAAAACAATATTTTACCCCATCTACCCCTCATGGATCCATGGTTCCTTGTAAAGGTTCACTTGTTAATAGATGTTGTTACCAAACTCTTTAGTCCTTTTTTAACATCAACCTTTTGTTACAAAGAGATCCTTTGCGCTAGGTTACATAACGACTTAACTGAAAGGAGATTAAAGTTTGTTGTGGTATTAAAATCATTATTATTATAAATCAAAGACCAAGACAAGGTCATCTGTGGTCAAATTATTTTATTCGACATTTTTATAACGATTATTTCATTAAATGGGCAAATCATTAACAATACAATCGTATATAAAATTTGGATTTAGTTTGTTTCGAACTATTAACACTTGATCTCAATTCTTACAATAAGTTGTATTCTTTTAACTAAGATAGCACAAAAAGGAACAAAATAACATTAAAGCAAAATTATTTTGCATTAAGACAATATATGTACTACGTATTTTTAACATATACGGAATCTGTAAAAGATCATCAAAGCCTAAAATAATATTAAATATAAACGCGTTACGTCCCTTGGAAAGTAGATTTATTTAAGGAGTAATGCACGTGATAATATACGAAACCAGGATACCTAGAAAATATTGTTTTGCAAAATTTATTTGGGTATATTACATTTACGATAGATATATATATATATATATATATATATATACTCTTCCCACTAACTGCCCGCTTCATATGTTTTAACTTCCCTAAATGTTTCCCCGATAAAGTAAAATAAATTCATTGTATGAAATAACACTAATGACAATAGTAAACTTTATGCCACTTAATAACACAGAACTCAACTGTGTTTACAAGCCCTACAATTTGATTATATTAATTTGGGACGTCACAATTAATAAATGTAAACTTTATAACTCGATTATCATATTTATTTTACGAGACCGGACGTTTTATTTAAACAATAAGTCTTTAACTCGATAATTATAAGTTGTTTGTTAAAATTATCGAGACTGTTTTAAATTAGATTTTAAAAAAATGTGAATTCAATACTGAAAATAAAAGAATACGTACTACTTTAAAGTTTTTTTTTAATAATTTTGATTAGTTTCATGCTTTGGTTTGAATAAATTTAAACATGCTCTTTTAGAATTAATTAAGTTTCGTGAAATTAATGAAGTTGGTATAAATAACATAAAATTTATTTGTACAGCTTTAGACAACTGTTTAATATGAGTACAATTTTTGAAATATTTCGAGAAATTAAGGACGGTTTACAAAATTAGAAAGGATTGTGTGGTATCTAATTCGTATAACAAGTGCTACCCGTTTCTGTTCAGCAAATACTGGTCCCAGACATTTTTATACAATGTGAATTTTAAATATTTCACGGATGGCCTAATTGTGTAATTTTTGAATATATCGTAATCACTATCAAGCGTATAGAGGTTGTGATAGTGATTTATGGACTTGTGTAATTTTGATTTGAATGATATAGAATGTCATAGCTAATTAATTTCGTTTTGTTGTTGTTATGTTGTCAAATAATCTTTACGATTTTGTTTTGATTGTAATTAATTCTCCTATTTCGACTGAAGAATAATAATATTTTATTCATATAAATAAAATAATAGAATTTCATACTTTTGACAAACTCAACGTTTTATTTGTACAAACGTAAATATAAACAAAGCCTTTGCATCGTACTAACAAAACGAATCAAGTGCGGTTTTTTTGTCAGCTCGTCTACGGACGAATCGATACGAGAAAATACAAATACTTACTCGATACTTTTCTTTGGATTCGAAGTATTTTTGGCATCGATACCTTGGAACTGAGTAAGTAGTATTGTGAAGTAAGTTAGTACTTGGTTGGTCACTCACTAAGGAGTGTCAAAAACTCGCGTGCAAAAGTGTTTACTCTGTGTTAAGGTGTCTAAAGTCTATCTTATGACAAAGTCCCACAGGCGCATCGTTCCTATTCTATCTATCTAAAAGGGGGAACTGTCAACAAAATTTTGAAGCAATACCTAACTAAATACATACTAAATAGTTTCTTTAAGCATCGCTTTTTATGTCTTCTCTTTCTTTCTTAAAAAAAGTATTGCTATTAACTATCAGAGTAGCAAATCTACTATAAAAATCTATAAAAATTATGACGATAGTGAGGCATTTTAAAACTATTCGATACAAGTATGTATCGAGTAAAAGTGTCAATTCCTAGGTGATATGTTTGAATCCCTGAGCTAGTCATGTCATCAGCTGTGCAATTTGCATCATCTGTCAGAATAGTTGGTTTATCGTTTCATTTTGAGATATTTATTAATAGCTAGTCAAATTTTTCGTTGTATGTAGAGTTCTGAATAAATCCACATATAAAAAGATCGGGAACCCAATACTGGAGGAATTTATTTACATCATGTAATAGTCACCTTAGTGAAATTTGTAAATTTAGTGGTAGTTAAAAAATAACCATTTTATGAAATAATTGTTAATACAAAAGCAATCAAATAAGTATTCTTAATATTCTTTTCCATCGTAACGAGTGATAATATTACTACTAGAATAATAATTATTGGCGATATTGGGTTGTAAATGTATTAAATAAGTAAATCCTTACCAAAACTTTATAATAAATTCAGAAACATAATAAAAACATACATAAAATGTCGTAAGATTGCAGTTAGTATTCAACTCTTTCATTTAACATTATCCAATAGCTCTCAAAGGTATGTGTAACTATATCAATTTCTTTAAAATATTCCGATTTACGTCAAATGAACGTTACCATTCATTCAATATATTTCAAAAACGCCGCAATCGTAATTGCTTTCATATGTCAAACGGTTGTAGCGTGAAGATCGCTCGAAGTTGTAGCGAATGTCTTTCAAATGTCAAATTCAAAGTGATTTGTGAAAGATTTTTTTAGACAATTAGACCCCTGTTTGATCCGGCGCTTCCAAGGTAGGCTACGCATCTGCGTAGAACTGCCTTGGCGGCGCCGGGGAGCGTGGGTCCCCTAGACTGCGGGCAAAACAGCAGTGCAAGGGAGCCCCAAGGGGCTAGTCCTAGAAGGTCTACGTGGTAGGCCTGGGCAGTGATCGAATTCCTATCAAAATGTGTTACTTCAGGTGGCGCTCGGACGCACTATAATTCCTTAAAATTAAAAATTATATAATTTTGTTGAAATTATATAATTTTACGTGTAAAGGCCACCAACACGATATTGCCGGAAACGTGTAAACGCAATTCGGCCATAAATTAAAAAAGAAACCTTTGTAAAATAAATGTTGACCACAAATTGATGAGTCATTGAGTTTTAATCCTATCGAGTTGAAGTTCTATTGTGGATGAGCCTAAGCCTTTCCTTTTCATGAAGTCCTTTACAGGCATTTCAAAGGCGTCCCTTTTTAACCGACTTCAAAATATTTAATTTCAATATTTAGCAGTTTCTTGAATTGTTAAGCAGCTTTAAAATAAGTATTATTTCTCATTTTTTAAAGCTTAAATTTTTTTTCTTCGCGACTCACTTATATCGATTCGAACAAATAGAATATCCAACAAAATAAAAGCTTAATCAAGGCTCATATTGTCTTTTTCTATGTTTTACTATCAACAATACCAAATAATGAACTTTTTTTCAACCGCGTTTGGTTGATCCGATCGAAAATAATGTCATTAAGAATAGCTCATAGGGCGCTTGTGCACTACACTGAATTTTCAGGTCCGGCGGTCCGATTTTTTCCGGTCCGGAATGACATGTAAAACCCGGATGAGTAGCTTGTGCACTTGTCCGTTTTTTTCCTGATCGGAGCGGCGCAGTGTAGAGCAGCTCTCTTTGAAGCTGCACGTCACTTACGCTAGGTTCGATGAGATTTTTGGAACGTCGGTAATTGCGTTCGAAGACGTAGAAAGGTACCTAAATAACGACCTGATCATTTTACAAAAACCATAATAAATTGAGGCAAGACGAAAGCATATTTTTTATTACTATCGGATGACTACTATCAGATGTAAAAACTTATACCCTTACTAATTTAGGGACAGCATTGTTTACATACAATAGCTAAAAATATCTGTGACATTAGAATAAAATTACTGATAATGGTACTTGATGTTTAAATTTATAAACATACGATTTTTTTGGAAGTTTTGTAAAAACAACTTTAAGCGATTACAGAGATAGACTAATCGGTGGCGCCATTCGTAAACAAATTCAGTGCCGTGTAAGCGGAGAATTAATATGCTAAATGAACTTTACGAGATCAGTTGACTGTATTATATGTTGCATAATTTTATACGCGTAGTGTAGTTTCTTTGAGCAGAAATATTTTACCCTTAGAATACTTCTTTTTTTAAATTTATTTATGACACAAACAGTCATTTCAAATTTTATTGAATGCGAAAAAGACATTGAGTGCCACTTAATTACTTCTGTTAATATTCTGTTTATTCTTTATTATTACTTCTGTCATTAAATATTTATCTATACTTATCAATTGTCTAAAAAAAAAATTGATAATGACAAATTTCCAGGCCAACTTTCATGCCCTATTTTTCGTGATAAAATTTAGCCTATGTCCTTTCTTAAAGTTAAGTCTATTTACTATATTAATTTCCATTAAGATGGGTTCAGTTGTTTAGGCGTCTAAGCGTAACAACACTTATCTTACCTTAAGTTATCGATACTTTTAATACGATTCTAAAATCTAGCTAAGTATCGATACTAGAACCATATGCTGATCAAATTAGAACTATACCGAGTTTGCCAAAGCATATGCAGTGATATTTACCAACTATATAAAATCATCATATAAAATATAGCATTTTATAATCTACAATAAATATCGATTATTGGAAAGTTTATTGGAAAATTACAATATCGCCGAAATAAATATCGATTTTATACAAATCGAATATATTTTCCCAAGCCTATTCTTTATGAATTTTCCGGATCGAGGACACAGCAGTGCACAAGCGTAAACACGTTTTGCATTGCCGCCATCACGGACCTGAAAAAACCGGTCCGGAATAGAGAAAAGTAAAATCCCGGACGGTAAAATTCCTGACAGTGCACAGGCTAGCATTACTTATATATGGCCTGACATATCGGACCTGAAAAAATCGGACCGCCGGACATGAAAATTCAGTGTAATGCACAAGCGCCCTTACCGTCCGATTTTTCGCAAGTTTTGACACGATTGACTAGGTGAATACGCTTCGACGTAACTCCGATAGAACTACTTTAAAATCGGCTTTATTCATAGATATGATTTGGAAAATGGGTTCAACGATTAAGTCGCTGCGATATAAGTTACTTGGACTACCGATTTAAGGCTTACGGTACATTTCCGCTGCGTTATCAGAGAAACGGTTTTATTATCAATAACCATGAATATTTTAAAATCCTATATTCAAATGAAATCAAAATCGTTAATTCAGTCTAGGCTGTTACGTAGCATTTGTGAAAGTTGAAAACTACGCCAACGGTTTTCAATTCTCTTGCATTATAAAAAACTGATACTGATAATTTTAATACAGATCAGAAATCACATCACTGCGCATAAAGGTAAAGATAACAAAATGAACAGGCCGGAAATCGAGACAGATCATGGCGTACAGTCAACTATCGAATAGCAAACTAGAAATATACTGACTCTGTTCTACGAGTGGTATATATGTCGTAGCCAAATGGTATAATCAGCCAACCAATTGGGCGGCTAGCCCTTTAATTGAATGGCGCCATTCAATTTAATTGAAGAGCTAGCCGCCCAGTGGCTGATTATAGCATTTGGCTGCGACATATACAAAACAATGGAACCTTTTCAGGGAAGTGAGCAGACCGGATGTGAAATCGACGACACCACCAACTGGGCGTACAACCAGCCCCAGCGCCCCGAGGCCTAAACCCATCACAAATCCCCCAGCGCCGCTCTCTTGCGCACCGTGTAACGGCCTCGTCACCACTCCGACCACGCCTTCCATGACACCCTATTTGATGGGTTCACTATCAAAACACGCTAAAATGTTTCTATTAGAAAACAGGTCTTTTAAAAGGTACTATATCATTTCTTTGCATCAAACTCATTAATTACATTTTAAACTGACACACAAATATTAATGTTTGTTGCAAACATTGTTCAATAATAAAATATGAATAATATATTTTAGAGGTTCGATATTTTGCAAACAAAAAGTTTTATCATATTTTGGAAGTAGACTAATTATTTGATAATGTAAATGAATTGAATGCTGACCAGATGGTTTGGCTTGACAAAGCCAAAATTGGCTTTTTTGTTAAAGGGAGATAACACTTTCGTCTTTATCCATCCATCATGCTTTGTATATGGATCGGTTATAAGCTCTAAGAGTTTAGAGTCCAATAATAACCTACCAATATAGATCAGGTCTCAAGCTACCAAGAAATTGAGATACTAAATGTGTATTTTTTAAAGTGGGACTGTAAAAGGGCGCAGGGCTGGGGGTTAGGACGTAGTAATATGTATTTCGTTTCACACGTGTAGACCATATTGAATTTTGTATGACATTAGTTCATTGTCGTATTATACGTTAAAGTAAATTTTACATTGCAAAATGATATGCATTTTATCCAATAAAAAAAAGACAATACGGTTGTTTTTTATTTCCTTGATAAAGTGAAATTAAATGTTAATATTATATATGTATAATTTAGGCGGCTCTTTGTTTAAAAGATATTATTACCATCAAATCTAAAAGTATATTTTATTCAGAAGTTTGAAATATTTTTACTGATACTCATCATCACCTTAAATCTCATTTACAAAAGGCACCGCTAGGGAAAATTTTATAAAGAAAAAACTATTATTTTTTTCCTAAATAAGCACGCAAAAAAGCAAAGCATCACCGCAAGCAAGCAGAAAACCCTTCAAAACCGAACCTTTTGACAGCGTCTAATGAGCCGGATGCGAAGTCGACAACTCCAGCTGTGGGCCGCGCGACCAATCCCACGGCGCCCTTTCCCAGCCCCTTGAAGAAGCCTTCCACGCCTTCCTCACGAGCGCCCTCTATGGGCTTGGTGAACACTCCGGTTACACCGTCTACCACGCCCTAGTTTGCCCAATAACAAATATTGTTTTACCTACTCAATTTTATGTGGGTTAAGTACATTAAATAATGAATGCAAAAAATGCAAACATCATCACATTGGCAGTTATCGAAATGGGTAGACTATTACTTATCTGCTAGTTACTTTTCTAAACTTATTGATGAGACCTGACTTAGGGCTGTGCCGGTATTTTTTACAATTTTTAATTTTAGTCAATATTTACAGCTGAATGTTTTGTTTATTTACATTTAAAATAATAAAATAGTTCTAAAAATGCAGACAGGTGATAGAATTAGAATTTCCGAACACCTTCATTGTGCTAAGACCACCGGTTTGAAGTTCTGTATAGTCAAAAGGTGTAGGCAAAATAAGACAACATTGTGAATGTGCCCTAGACTTTTAACACTGACCATAACAAGTCCTTTCCCACTGCGAGCGAGTCCTTCCTGTAGATTTGCAGGCGGTTTGTTAATATTATCACGCCGTCTTCTCTGGTAATCCTATTAACAATATAATAAAACATTTCACAGTTAATAAGGAATATAATTTATTGTTAAGCACATATACGAGTTATTATCATCACCAGCCCATTGATATCCTACTGGGACACAAGTCTTTGTTGTGGATGGAATCGTATTGAGGAGGATGGTCCATGACCTACCATGAGGGCACAGAGCGGAATGGTGGATACTAACGAATGCAGATGCAACCGGGGTCAACGGCTTAAAGTGCGTTAAGAAACATGGAGGAGCTTGACATAATACATTTTTGGTCACCCATCCTATATATAACCAAACATTGTAAAAGTTTTTAATCTTGCGTACCATTCTACATACAAATAACACATCAAAAACCTAATATGAATGCAAAATATAAAAAATGAATTGAACAGAGATATTTTTGTGTATACAATATAAAAAAATATTTATAGAAATCATGTCTATTATATATATATATATATATATATATATATATATATATATATATATATATATATGTATATAGTGGATTAGCTCTTTCTCCGCGACTTTGTAAATAATAACTAAATTGGTTGAAATACACATAGTTGGAATATTGTTGAAACGAACGATAACTTTTATTTTAAAATATTTTTCAACGTATAAAATGTTCACAAAATACAATTTTTACCTTGTGCCAAATCGCAATACGCCATAGTAAAATACAAAAAAATGCGCAAGATTTTTCTAAAGCTTGATGAAGTACTTAACTCCTAGCATTCACCTCTTACGCTAGCACGAGATATTACAAAAGAACAAATTACGCTACCTTGTCCAGAGAGAGCGCAGCCAATCCGTGTCCCATAGCGCCTGTGATGCGGGACACGGCGCCTGCGGCCCCGCCCACAGTGTGTCCCACCAAAGACCGCACACCAAGGAACAAACCTTCTGCGAATTCGCCAGGTCCTTGAATAGCTCCCTAACCAAAAAAATATCGTATTAGGTTTTAAGTTGAGGTGTTCAATATTATGTTAATATTTAATAATTATAGCCCGCGACTTCAGCCGTGTGGTACATTTAGTACTCTTAATAACGAACTTCCATTGAAACTCATTGTTTGAATGGAAGTTCGTCGGTTTTTAATAAATTTTCAAAAATCGTAATAAAGAGTATTTTTTTAAAATTACTCTTTATTACATAGTAAGCACGTTACATTAATATTTCAGGGTATTTACTGTATTTATCAATAAAAATCAAGGTTAAAGTTTAAATTTCCAAATCCACACGAAAATCGCTGCTGTCATAAACCACCATTAAGCCTCGTATAACATCACACGTAAGTAAATAAACAAAACTCATGAATCTAAAATCGTCAACAGAAAGCTATATATACTAGCGTATGACGTCATCGGAGTTGCAAAAATATACAAGGAGTTTTCATCTCAGATCAAAAATTATACTTTATTTCATTAAAAATAAAGTGTAAATATGTGGAAATATGTGTTGTTGCGCTATTGGTGTTATAGGATGATCACAATTTTTGTATATTTTTAACGTTGTCAAATACCCTATTTATCCTCCATCATTTTTATTTTTTATTGTTCTTACCTGGAATGGCTCGTAGAAGAGATCCTCCACGCCTTTCTTTAAGCCAATCACAAGCCCATATGGGTTTCCTATAACATCCAGTCCAAGTACTAAAACGTACAACTGCTTCAAAGCCTGCCCGGTATAATGGCTCTGTACTTGTGCTACCAACTCTTTTTGGGATAGGAACTCGTAATTGCGTTCATAATACGATAACCTTAAATAAAAATAATCATTGAAGTCATTACATTTATGTTTACTCATATAGCTTAATCAAAAACCAAATAAAACATTGTTACGTCACATTTTTTTTTTATTTTATCAAATTTAATAAAGTTTTTAAATAAGGTAACTTACTTAAACACGACGTCATTCATATCGGTTAGAGTGACTCCAATACTTTGAAGGACCGTGCCAACAAATGTCGGCAATTGCGTCGCACCTCCAAGTGAAAAAGAAACATGAACCTAAAAAGAAGTTCAGTTAGAATCAAATTAAGTACTTACTACTAGGTTAAACTTATTTTAAACGGCCTTTTCATTATTTACCTTAAGCGGAGATAGATGTAAATTGTCATAGAAATTCTTTTGATCCGATGCTACTCCCAATGCAGCTAGTGCCTCTAGTGGCTGCCCGGCTTTATCTAAATCTGATTGGAAAGCGTCCAACTGTAACAATATTGATTATCATAGTATTATTGCTTGAATCGAGAGATGTATAGGAACTGATTTGAAGTATATAATTGGAAATAAAAACAGCATACCGCTTCCTGTTCCGTGAGTACAGTCTGTGGGAACATTCCCATAAGCGCATCGACCAGTCCCATATCAATTTTAACGTGGAACTCTTGAATGAGTACCTTGAAGTATTTGTACTGACGAACTTTACTATGTTCCATAATGCGTTCTACTATGGATACCTCGATGAATGGTTTCATACCTATAAAAACATATCGTGAATTCATACTTATAAAATTATCATACTGATATACTAATCTCTCACTCATGTTTAATATAAATTAACTTTGCTGTTATTGTCAATTCTAAGTTCTCACCATTAGGGTCGTCATTCGCAATGGACCGCGGCGGTGGTACAGGGGCTAAAACTACCGGGAATGTCGGTAGAGGTAGCTGCTGATCAATCTGTAGTCTATGCAGACGAGCGTGTAACCTTCTCGAGTGAGGAGTGAGACCATATGAAGCCCACATGCCAGGCTGCAGATTACGTCGTAGTAAACGTTGAGCTGGTTTTAATAATCGCATCTCCTCGAAATCAACCTTAGATAAAAAGTTGAAATTATTGTTAATTTAAAATTGACAGATTTGTTAGTTAACGCACATAACATCGCGCAATATAAATATTTTGAAAGTGTAAATAATAATCTTTATTCGACACTAATTCTAAAAATATAACACTATCGAGTTTTAATTTAATAAACGTTACTTATTTATGATACATCTTATGTTACATATTGAATTTATGGTAATAAATAACATATAAATTATATAAAACTCCTACTTCAGTCTTCTCATCAATTATCACTCGCGGTGATACAGGCTCGTCACGGACCATTTTCTCCGTCAAGTATTTTTGGTAAGCTTCTTCCAGCTGTAGTAATTTGGCACCTTCGATCTTCTTATAGCGTCGAGCACCGAGTTTACATTGCTCCCATATTATGCCAGAACTACAAACGGAAATTTTTTAAATAACAAATTATAACAACAAAATATGTTTCTTGTTAGAATCTAAAATATTTTACGAAAAGTTTATCTTCTATCTGCATAAAGATAAAAGAAAAGAATTTTTTCTACAATAGTCAACTACATAAAAAAATAATAATAACTAAAATAAACTTCAGATGGCGCAATTATTTTTGTTCGTTTACAGTGAGATAAAAACTCAATATGCTTTTAAAACAACTAAATTTATTTTTATTAACTCAAGTCAGTATTAAAAATACGAAGTGCTAAAAATAAACGATGAGTTATTAATAAATTATCGAAATTCAATTTACTTTTATTACATCAGAAAGAAAATCGGAACACATGTCATAGACAATTTGATTGAACATTACAAATGTTTCAAAGTACATAGCCGACATCTAGTTTGATTTAAAGACTTATTTTTGGGGGATCTATTAAGAGTGACTACCAAAATAGTTTATATATTCAATAAAACATGTTTGACCATATTTAAGCAACAGTTTGAAGCGCATGCAAAAGCTTTTATATTTGATAATTTATGAAATTTTGTGTAATAGTTTTTACATTCAAAAGAAGTAACTATATTATCATGTAAAATATTGCTATAAACATACTGAGATATGCTGATATAGACTATTTCCAAGAGCTCAGGGTCATTGACCAACGACAGTCCCATGCCCTGCATCGAGAGGACTATCTCAGTGTCTACCAGTTCCGCTTCTCCAATAGTATGAGCGCCGCTTGCGAGAATAGGGTCGTCAGTAAACAGAACCACCCTTTGCAACCCGTCTAAGAAAGACACCCAGTATACTTTCTGCGTTTCATTGATGCTGAAAATATTTTAACACATAACATGCATGCAATAAACCCACAGATAAAAAAAAATGAGTCGTTATAAAAAAACTAATATTCTTTTGAAGGTTGCAATTCAGTTTGCCTTTAGGTTGTTTAAAAATTAAATGCTTACAGAAATTCACCGATGCCATCTTGCCTCAAATCGTTTTCGACTTCTTTCCTCTTGTGACTTTCAAATATAAGCACTCGAGGACCGGCAGGGTTGTCCCATGTGAATAACATTTTGTTCATAGAGGGTATTTTTCTGTTGATGAAAACGTATATAACATAAGAATAAAATGACAGAAATTCCAGGAAGTGTTGACAAAAGGTGTTATCAACAACCATTCATGCCAAACGAGAATCGGCGGGTATTAACGAATGGGTAATAAATGTAAGCAACTCGAGGTGATAAATTCTACTTTCTACTTATACCACTAATGTAAAATTTGAACGCGTAGATGGCGAAGTTAATAGAAAAATATATTAAAAATAAAATATTAAAATATATTAATAGATATATCCAAGAGGTCAGTCATATCTATAGATAGATAAAGGATTCGGAGGATTTAGACGGTGTTTGGGATATAGTTCATAGTCTGACTTACTCATAATAGTTCCGTCTACATACAGTCGTTAGCAAAGATTCAATTCAATTCCATATATTTAAACAGTTTTTTCAAAGCGTCAAGGACCAGAAACAAGAAATATAATGATATACTCACTTAACATTGACGTTTTCCTTTTCGTATAATGTGACGGGGAGTTGCGTGTAGTTGACGAGCAAAGCAGGGGCGTGACCGTCGCGATACTGACGTATCGTGATATAGGTGCCTCCCTCACTTAGCTGCACCTCTACGTGGAGACCACCGTACTAGAAGAATAACAGGTGTAGACAGTAAACGAAAATACATACATATTTTTTTTAATAATAATAAAGCATTTATTTTTCTGGTAGTGTTTAATATACTATTACCGATAATCACACTTTTATGCTTATTATGTTTATAATATTACTTGAAAAAAATAATATTTTAAACTCGTTGTCACTAGACCGAAAAACAGGGCGTGACGTCACGCCCCTTTTACTCATATCAGAGTTTAGAGAATAACGGCTGTTTCAGAATTGAGAAAAGTATGAATCTCAACTGATTTTTCTCAATAACTAAGTTTTTTTAGTTTAATATGACAAAAAGTCCTAGTTTTATCAAACTGCTGTCAACTGATCATTAAAAAAGTCACCAACGAAAACATATTTGAGTGACGTTTGAAAAGGTTCAAGTACAGTTTGAGACTTGCTTAACTTTAAATTCTCAATTCAGAAACTAGTTGTTAAACCTTTTGCATACATAGAACGATATTAGTTTTGAAGGGGCATGCCGTCATAGCCACGCCATGTTAGAAATTGATGTTTTCGCAATAAATTTTGAAATTATTATATGAATGATATTTTTTATTATATATTTCATGTATATCTATAAAATTAAAATATAAAAAGTTCCGTATCTGCTATTGTCGATTAAAATTCATGTTCGTTTTAAAATGGTCTGTATATGTATCATATGAACTATTTTATACGGTTTTACTTGAGTAACTTTTAAGTTCAAATACTTTTCTAAGCGCGGCAATTAGTTCAATCGAGATTGTATTTGCGATTTTCTTCTTCAACTAATTAATTCTTAAAGTTGCTGTTACCCAAATCGCGTTAAAAACTATTTTTATCGCGTTCTATCTCGGCTAACGACAGATATCTTTAATGCCTAAAGTAAAACCGTCATATGCCATTGTTACAAATAATATGTACTTAAAATTGACATTTTCTAACCGTTAAGTCACGATATTTTAAGAGTAATAAAAAATATTACTACCTGAAATTCTAAACGTTGATATTTTAAAGAAAGATTTTCATTTAAAAATATTATATAATTCTTGGTTATTATTTTTTTTATTATATATAAGTTCTTATATTGGCAACTAACTAGACTCACGTCATTATTAAGCTTCAAACAAACGCTATTTTGTTCGGTGTAAAGGAACGGCTGAGCATGATCGGTGGAGCCGGCTACTCGCAGCAACAAGAGCTTATCTTCCTTCTCTATAACTGGCCACAGAGGGGCACTAGAATTATTTTCGACCTGTCAAAAAATATAATAATGAGGCAATTTATATATCTAAATAAACTTATTTTATCAACGAAAAGAATATAATACGTACTTCTCTCCAAGGATCACCGGATCTTTGGAGCTCTTGATACTGTATCGCAAATGGTGCCTCGTTTATTATGAGGAAGAACGGAGTGAATATGACCGTTTTTGTTAAACTATTAAATGTGAGCTGATTTGTCACCGCCACCTACAAATTATTCGTAATTATTAAAATAAACTCCTCAAAGATATGAATTTCATATAAATATTTTTTCCTAGTTACAGTCATAAGTTTTACAATAACAAAAATCCTGTATTAAAAATTATTAATGTAATAAATCAATTTTACTATAAACAAATATTTGTAAATATAATAATTATACTTTATACGTTTGACTCCTGATATCTCACCTGATAGGTTCTACCTTCATATTTACATATTACCACACCAGAACTGCCGGGCACGTCCAGCGAGAACTTATCAGACCATTCGCCAAACTCGATTCTTATTGCGGCCTTCTTTTTACCGAAAAAGTTTTTCGCTCGAAATGAAAACAATATAGGTTCTTTGTAATCCTTGGGGTGGAATATTACGTTGCCGGTTTCGTCGAGGTTCTGAAACGTAGTTATTATATAGTAACGTTTTATTAACCCTCTCTGCGTGTTAAAATCCTTGCCGCAAAGCTTCCTGCAATTTTAATGTAGTGCTCTTTATGTGAACGTCATTTTTGCTAATAAAGAAAAAAGTGGCAATAAGTAGCAGAAACTATTGTTAGTATATGGAAAAGTTAATGGAGTCGATTGAAATAAATTAAAATGAAAAATGTACAATGTCAAAGATATACAGCGTTTTCAAAAAACTTATATATTACAGATAAAAATTTTCATAAGAAAACATATAATTAGAAAACTATCGGTTATACTCCATGCAATGTCCCGACATGCAAATATTTATTAATGATAGTATATCACATATTCGTAGTTCCAAAATATATTTTATTCAAGATTATATACAGCAGGGTCATTATAATCCACCGAAAACTATGAGGTGCATTTTATTTCAAGTTATATACACGGATAATTTTCTATATTTTACCAATTTAATACATTTTCATATTATTAAACATTAGCACGTAAGATGCATAATAAAATTATATTTCTAAATTGCATCTTACGGGCTAATGTTAAAATCATAGACAATCATCAGCAGACTATCTACGATTTTAACACGTAACTCTGTTAGCATCCCTTTCCAAAGTTAAATCTGTGCGGGTCTTATTTCTTGACAAAATTACTAATTTATCAACAATATTTAACATATTACGTAATCTTATTTATTCAAAACATAGCGAAGATTATGCTCAGGACCGCCAACCGATGACTCATTTTTTTTTCTTCTAAAAAATACTTAAAGCAATTAAATAAATTTGACAACACTTTGTCATTGACCACATTTTTGCTTACACTTTCCCTCTATCCTACAACATTCGAGCAATTAACTGGAGAACAGGAGGAACCATATATTAATGTGACTTCACAAAGTGCCAAGCTACTGAATACCTATTCCATTTATCATTATTTATAAAACCCCTCCTGACTACAAGGCTGTCTATATCTAGTGTTGTTTAGTAGAATACATCATCGAAAAAATATAATAAGTACCACCTGACATCAAACCTCCTATATACAAACACATAACAAGAAGCGCGCCATAGACCAAAGCCTTATTTATTACAATCTGATATTCAAAACTTTATATATCCCATCTTTAACAAAGAGAACTATTGATACATGATGTAACAAAATTACACTGTAACATGGTAATGTATTATAATAACAGTGTAATGGAACAATTTAATAAACTAATATAAATTACTTTCACAAAAACATTGTCTAAACGTGAAAGCTAGAAAGAATAATTATATTTATCATGCACGGTCTCTTTACAAGTTTCAATATAGGACTGCTAACATCTGCTTTTTATTCAGCATATATGTATACATATATCCCTTTCATGTGCAACCACCTTAATCATAAATTGGTGTGCACTCACCGGCAAACATGACGTATGACGACTAAGAAATTTACTGCAACGTGAATGTTTTATCTGTAATCGATATCAAATATTATAAAATTTAACAGGGTAGATTCAATAACGAAAAATAAGAAGTGAAATTCCACATTAAACACAAAATTTAAACTAAAATAAATAAAGGTACTTATTTAAACTGTTGAGTCAATAAATCTCACGATTATCATATTTAATTATTTTTGTCCAAGTATCGTGTGACCTGAAACACGACCATTGTATGACGTAATATTCGCATAAATATTTCTGATGTCAGATTAATCGTAAACAACTGCCTATTTAACATCAGATTCTTTTGTTTTGTAGCAAGAAGGCGCTATTTTTGTCAATTAACGTTTTTTAAATAATATACTCCATCAGTTTGTTTTGTGTACATATCGAAATTACATCATAAATATGGCGGACAGCGATATGGCGTGTATGAAAAAAACGTGTAATAAAACGCCAAAATGCTTAAATATGAATGACACTTATAATTAATTTTACAAACAGAATCAAAAAACCGTTCTAAAATCGTAATTATTCGAGCTTTTATTTAATCATATAACTTATATATATTTACTTGTTAAAATGGATTATTCGATGACCCCACTGATGCATGCTAAAATTTTATTACATAAATATACACTTAATTCGAAACCAAAAAATCCTTTTACATTATTTTGAGAGGAAGCTTGTTAAGCTTTGTTTAACCAAGTCAATATTTTAGGAATAGAAATCAATAAAAGATCATCTTTAATTTAAAAAGGAGTAACACACTACATAACTCTTGGGAAAAAAAAGGAGCAGTGTTGCCTGAAGCCAATATCATAGCTAGATCACCATGAAATGTTAACAGCAACGCAAAATTAATATTGAGGCAGCAAACAGAAATTGATATTAAAAAAATCTATTAAAACGACATCGTATCATCATCTCAAAGGTACCTTGTTGGGAGTGCTGGAGTTTTTTTCTGGTTTCTTTGATTTCTGCAATCACGGAATGATATATATACGGCCAATTGTATTTAAGAAATTATTACAACGCTCGACTAACTATTAGGAATTTATTTTTTAAAGAATAGTTAATGGCTAATAAACTACATATTAAAGGGACATCATTAAATTAAATTACGTAAATATTCTTGATCCAAAGTACGCAACTACTTAAACACTAATACAATTGTCATTTTTTTACCAATGACCAGCGTTGCACATGTCACAACACCGAAAATATAAGCGTTATAACAAAATTGGTTCACAACACACATATATCCTTTTTTAACAAGTAATTCTTACCCTATAACAAAGCGTAAATCCGGTTTTATTAAGCATCCAGAAGGGACAATACAATGATAAAACTTGAGTTCCTTCCATATCGACGCTGTGCATACCAAGATCGAGATTCATCACAGACGGACTGTCGTGAGATTCAAATGTCCAAACAGACAATTCTGTCTCCGTATCAGGCAGGTTCTTTGTGCATACCCAACATTTATCTAAATAATTTTGAATCTGTAATGTAACAACATATTAAACAACTTATAAACACATTGTATTATGGACGTCTATCATATAGATTGCACTATATATTTAGATATGGAAATTTTGCTATTTTAGTAATTTGGCCACATTACACTTGGTCGTTCGCCATCAAGTCTTTATTTGAATGCATCTGGGATTTAATAAATAAGATCGAATAGGTAAGTTTTTTGGAAATCTTATCTAGCTACTTCATAGTAATAATATTATATTATGAAATAATTAACCTTTATGTATTATAGATATGTTGTAATCGGAAACTTATAAGTAAACATCAATTATGTAGTACTTTTTCTCTTAAAATAAATTGTAAGTTTATTTGTAGTGGCCATGGCGGAGCATCGTGTGACGTCATTTTAATTAACTAAACGTCAACGTCTTTGTGTGGCTCCAAATATCACGAGACGGATTGTTTTTGAAGGACAAATTTAAATTAACAAAAAAGTCAAATAGCCAATCGACGCTATACTGCCGGAATACGATTGAATAATGATCAAGTGTAATAGCATCATTATAATTTTAAATATAAAATAACTTAATTTTTACAAGATTAATAGAGCCATTCTCTTACCATTATTACGACAGACGCCTTATTAGGAGCGAGATGCGACAGATGAAACATTTCCCCTGGTTTGAATGTCTGTGTTCGCTGGAGTCCAAGTTGAGAGACTACTATGTCAACAGGCAAACAGTTTTGTAGCTTCACAGCTGGCTTTAAAACGATATCGTAGCATGACGATGCAAAAGTGTGCCTATTGGTATTTTCGTAGAATACTTGCTCCATAGTACCAATAGCCTAGTTTAGAAAAAAATATTTTGTTCCATTTAAATGTTAGTAACCTTTTTAACCTTTATTGACTAAAATTAATATAGAAAACTAGTTATTTCTTGATGAATTATAAATAAGATTTCTGTAAAAAAAATGGTTTCCAAACATATGACTCTAACGTAATGTACGTTTAAAGATATTTAAAAGTAAAAAACTGACAATTTAACTAAAAATGAGAAACAAAGAGAATCGTATACAATAAATAACACATGTTTAAAAAAGTTACCTTCAGGTAGAACTTCTCACCACTATGTTTGTCTTTTGAATCGCATTGCAGTAGCTTCGAGATCTTGACTTCCTGTTGGAGCTCACGCCATATGAATGGAGACACGGACACAGTGAAACCTAACGAATTGCATTATATAATTAAAGTGGGTTTTTTAAATATCTAATGATTATTTTCAAACTTAATGGTTATATTATACAGGGTTATTTGTAAAACACCGGGTCTAATCATGAGCTCTAATAGCAATTACACCGTTATTGTTCCGTATAGAGCTATCTCTCGCTGAACGGATTATACATTGCTATAAGAGATGATAGTAACCATTCAAGACTGCAACATCGAGGGACTGTCGAGGTAACATCATAAAGCTGTTGCTATAAGAGCAAGTGGTCCGTAGGGCCCATTGCATTAGAAAAGAATTTGCGTATGAGTTCATATCGCTTTCTGTAGAAGTTTCTCACGTTGTCATGTTTATGATTTTCTATAAAAGTCCATTATTTATACTGTATTAACATTGACTTATACTTGCATAGCAGCTGTATCAAATAATAGTTTGATTTCCGATTTACCTTCGACGGAGAAGAATATTTCGGCGGTGGGTGTATGCACAGCTTGTAGCGGAAGCCTTAACACGCCGGCCGGCTTCACGTCGCCAAGTAGACGCACTTCATTACCACTCAAAGTCATGTAATATACTGATACATTCACCGACAAGGTGTTCGTCACCTATAAAAAAAAATACTAACGCTATAAAGCATTATAATAGTGCATTTCATGCAAATATTTTTCTAGAATGTACAAAAATTTACCTATATATTGGATTTTAGATATTCGATAGAGTGGACGACGTGGCCATCCATAGTCAAGCACTTTCAAATAAGTATGTAATTTAGAAATACTAGTATTTAAATTCGGGAAGTGGCTCGCTATGTAGAAAATGACTAGGTAGAAAATGTACAAAATCGTGACGTCATGCGACATTTCAACTCAATGTATCGCCGTAATTTATTGATTAGGCAAAAAATAAAAAATACGTGTTTAATATTCTTCAATAATCTACCTGGCGGACAAACAAACAAAAATGAGTCATCATCGCTATTGTAACATCTGAAATATGATATTAACTGGTCCAGGAACCATAATCTATGGTTTTTGTTAACTTAACGTTAACATGATTTATTGGAATTAAACTTATCGAGTAATAAGGTTTGATATACCGTTAGATTTTATGTAGTAGACTGATTACAACAACACACCTGTACAACGCTCCTAAGATAGATTTGTAACGCAGCCTCTTGCATGACGATGTCGGATATAAGTCCTCTCGGTTCGGCAGCTGCCACATGAGGTACGTTCCTCTCAAGCGTTCCGCCTGCTTGTTTTCTTCCCAGAGCGAAGTAACGCTTATCCGCTCGCTCGACAGGTATGCGGACTTCTTCATCCATTTCTACAATCTAAAAAGCACAAGGAAGTATAAGTTATTATGTACAATGCTTATTCTAAACTATATTGTTCACATAAATTTATTTATGTTTTGTCTATATATGTACATATTATAATTTCGATCGGTTTTATAATATAATATGCATATACCTTAAACAGAATGCGAAATAATGTTATTCAATATTGACAATTGAGAAATATTAAATAGTTTTATAAAGTACACACTAATCCAAACTATCACTATGTTCAATGTTATTAGGGTATAAAAAGATCAATATTTAAAGTGACATTTAGTTCTAATATTACCTGGACATTTAACTTGAGCGGCGGCGGTGGCTCGTTCAATTTCATCAAGTTGAGACCACCATGTTTTAATTGTAAAGGCACGCTTGCTCCCGGCTCTAATACAACTTCCCTGTACCAAAAACCAATTTTAAGTAGTCTATTATTAATTAATATCTAATATTCTGAATATTACTAAAGAATCTTTACAACGGCGACCTTGTCCATTGGTCGGACTATAATGCGTCATTATACTCATAGTTACTATTAGCGAATCGTTAGCGTTTAACTTTACAAACAGTAAAGTGAGGTCTTAATTGAATATAATATCGAGGGTTAAAGTATGAAATTGCCGTTTTATTGTAACAGGTTCCTTGAATTGACATAGAATCTTGAAAACATTTGAATATCGACTTTCAATTGTTTTTGTTATTCAACTTAGCCAAGAAAGAGAAAGAGAAACTCAAGAAAGATGGATACTGCGAAAATTCGAGTGATTTTTTTATACGAGTTCCGACGTGGAAGTAACGCGGCAGAAACAGCACGTAATATCAATGTTGCGTTTGGAGAGGGGCCTGCTAATGAACGCACCGTGCGATTTTGGTTTAAACGCTTTCGTGATGGAAACTTCGACTTGAAGAACGAGCCACGAGGAAGACCACCCACACAGGTGAATAACGATGAATTAAGAACGATGGTGGAAGCCGATCCTAGTCAAACTACCCGGGAATTAGCGACATGGTTTAACGTTACCTTACCCACAATATAGACTCATTTACGTCAAATCAATAAAATAAAAAATACGAAAAATGGATGCCTCAATTTGACTGATCTGCAGAAAGAAACGCGTGTTGAAACTTGTGTTGTCTTGTTGAATCGGTACAGAAATGAAGGAATATAGAACCGAATTGTGATATGTGATGAAAAGTGGATTCTTTATGATTACCGTAAAAGAAAAATGTAAAGGCTGACCCCAGGTCAAACGCCACAACAGCGTCCTAAAGCAAAACTTACCAATAAAAAGGTCATGGTAACTTTTTGGTGATCTCACCGTGGTGTTGTTCACTATAGTTTTCTCCGATCTGGTCGAGCAATAACAGTAGATGTCTATTGTGCCGAACTCTGAACAGTGTTGGAAAAACTAGCAGTTTCGACTCATGAATCGATCTTGCTTCAACGGACTACCATTTTTTTCGTGATTTGGACAATTATCTACGTAACAAGACGTTTTCTTCCCAAGAAGCAGTACAAAATGCTTTAACACAGTTTGTGCAGTCTAGATCCTCAGAGTTCTATCACAAAGACATAAATGACCTCCCTATTACATGGCAGCAATGTAAAGATAATAATGGTAACTATTATGATTAAATAAATTAGTTGAAGATTAAAAAATAAACAATTTTGTATTCCAGTATAAATCGTCAATTTCATATTTTAACCCCTATTATATTGTGGTCGGCGTTTGCTATCATTCGTTAACGCTTACGTAAAATACTGATGAAACTTATTTCTATGGCAGTACTCCTTGCTCTTTCACATATATCCCATGTCATCATCATATTTCTACACTAAAATTAAAATAAATATTACTCACCGATAGTCAGAAGCCACGTATTCATCAGTAAGGAAGACGGAGAAGTCGTGATTATCTTGCAACATCAGTTTGGCAGTTAGCCCAGTACAGTTGTGTAGGACATATGGTGCTCCGAAGTATTTCGAATGAGAACCCTGATTTGATAACATTACACCACTGATGAGTTTAAGTAATATAGTCAAAAATTGGTCATCAACACCCAGATGGAGTATGATGATCATTAATTACAACGTATTTGAAGACGCCTGATATTAGTTGGTTTAAAAATGAGGAGACAAAGGCGAGTATAATTTACAGAAACGAAACACATTTTTTTTTTGCATCAATTAATTTTTTTTTCCTGTATGTTCAATACACGGTCATTTGTAAAAGACCAGTGAGGACGCAGGACAATAGCTAACATCATAAACATACGTTCAATCTACGAATTTAACCATACAAGTTTGTAGTAAGTAACCATTTACTTTATACAAAAAAAAAAATTCTAATTTTTTTGCAGTGACGTAACATTTATAGGTCTATGTTTTATTCATTAATATACATAATATTAATTTACACGTCATAATATACTCACATCTGCTTTAGACTTCGAAACTGTAGTATCAGCTATGGCAGCTGAAAATGAGTTGCCTAATTGCGTAAGCACCTGTAATTCAAACATTTCCAATTATGCAAACTAATTTGTACTGTATTGAATATTTTATTAGATAAATTTGATTTTGGTTCATCAAAATATAGCTAAAATTAGTGCCCCGATTAAATGAATTCGGAACTATTTGATAACCCTTACTAAAATAACACAATTTTACAACCATTTCATAATATTCTGCTGCATAAATAAAGCATATATCGTTACTTTTATTTTATTTTTTTGATATATGTTAAAATTATCACGAGTTATTTTATAATATTTGACCTCCATTCCACTCCTAGTGATGGTGATTTCGAGTGGTTCACTACTCGATATGGTGACGGTTTTGTTGGCTTGACGTTGGGCCACAGCTTGAATATTTGCCGCCTCATCTGTCGTGTCTATTGAAGATGTAGTCTCTTGGGCGCGCATCACTACCTGAATAATTTGAAATGTATTATAAAAATTAACGGAAAACCGTAAAATTTATTACCCTTCTTAAAAATACTAGGTGATACAGATATTTTTATTTCATTGACTCATTTGACAGGTAACTGAAAGCTTGTAGTATAAATCAAGCATCGCTGTTTATATTTTTACGGTTTTCTGATTTCGTGACGACGAATAATCTATGTAGTTGATCTGTAGAAGTATCAACAGAAGTGAACTAATAAACAATGGACCACATGTCTCACATACCTAGACTATTTAATAAGATAAAAAAGTGAAATAAAACGAAAAAAAAATTATAAACAAACAATATTATTGCTATCATAAAAAAGATTGACAGTTTAGTTAATATTAAACCCTTCAGATTATTTTTTATTACCTCCATCTTCAGTTCCCACGGCACGTGCTTGTACTGGGAGTCTTTGAGTACTTCCACAGGCTCTATAAGCGGTTCCCACACAGCACGTCCAATATTATAATAAGACACTTGCATCGCCCATGTCGACTCCATATAGAACTAAATATAACAAAAAATATTACTTAACATTTTAATAATTCGTAAATTTACGAAAGATCTTGTAAGATGAGTAAGAACGGTGGTATATTAGAAAACGAATATTAAATATTTATTTTTAATAGCAAAAAGCTTACATCTGAGCTCCAGTCTTTGAGTTGACCATTGAGTGAAGCTTGCATCACCAACACTGGTATGGTTTCATTACCAATGTCCATTTCAAATGATACTACAATTGAGGGGCTGGATAGTAGACAAATCTCGCCAGATGGAGGTGGAATTTCTGATAGTTCCGTCAACGATTCTACGTTTAACGCTTCTTCAGCCTCTTCTAAAAGAAAAAAAAAACGAATATTCTAGCAAACAAGGAATAATCAAATTAATAACGTGTCAAATCGAATACCGATTAAATTGCCGTCTCGCATTTAAATTATTAGAGATTAGGCAAACTATTTCTTCTCTGTAATTACTACATTATTTTTCTTGATAATTAGTATTAGTAATATACAAATGTTCCTAAAATTTACAGGGCAAATTATTTTTATTTTAAAATTATGAACAACTCTTGCAATATTCATTTAGTAAGAAAACATGCACGCAGAATTAAGATTACTATGACGTGCTAGTGGTCTAGGTTTTCTATCGAAAACTGATTACACTGTTTCTACTTTTATAAGTGCTTTGATAACTATGGGATATGGGCGCATTGCAAATTGCCTGATATGGTTCCACCTGTGTAGGATAAAATCACTTCCTAACGTACCTGTTTTAAGAAACCAATAGGAGTTAGGCCTGAAGGACTGTACAGTCCATAGGTCCTTGTAGAATAGGGCCTTATTCTCTTGCTCCGTAGTATCTTCTTCAGTGCTCGTGATAGTTGCCATAACACGGTTTAACAGTGCTATAATATCTATAGTATGGGAAATGTACATAGAATTAAGTAAAAAATAATCATTGTGTATTTTTTTCTATCTAGACTCAAACATCCAACATTCATCATGTTAGTCCAAAGTAACAAAATACAAATGAAATTTCAAAATCATTTATATTTACTAACTAACCTCCGTAGCAGAGTGTTTCGGGCGCCGGTTTTTAAGGTGACGCCATCTCGGAAGTCCCGGGTTCGATTCCTGGTCGGGTCAATGTAGAAAGTGAACTTTTATATATTGTCCGGGTCTAGGTGTTGTGGTACCTTCGCTGTCTCAGATATTCCATAATATGTATGTGATGTTTAATATTTATTTTATTTTATATTTATTTACTTATTTTGATGAATAAGTTTTACTAAAATCACTCATAATGGTCATTTTTAAAACTTGATATATAATATTGCATATTAAAACTGTTGTAGGTACTGTTTAAAGGTCGACAATCAATTTAAAGAATAATCGTGAATCTATTAAGAACTGTGTCTACTTTAGCTTGCCCTACTTTTTCCGATCGCTCTTGAGGTCGGCGCTACATATATTATCGCTCAATCATCCATAACCCTTCATTAGCCATTTTTTTTATTAGAACCTAAGTCTAGGAGATCGTGACAAAAATGTGCAAGAGCTTACCAAAGCTTTATATTTAAACATGTTGAAGTACTAAAGTTTACATCACTCAGTGCTCAGTGCGGAGATCAGGTGCTAGAATACGTTTTCATAATGGTGGGAAGTTAATTTATTACTAAATTATTGAAATGCTCAAATTTCAATTTAATGGGACAAACAATAAAGAAAACGCTAGAAGGTAATTTCGCGCCGCTGTCACCAGGAAATCCAGTGCTTGACCTCCGCACTGGGTACTGAATGATGTATTATACTTCACTTCACCCTTGATACTTCAACATACTGAAATATTAAACTTTATTAATCTCATGCACACTTTTGCCACGAGCTCTCCGTCTACATATGTATAATGAATATAATAGTGACCAGGTGAGACGGTGATCTTGATGTCCGAAACTGATATATCGACGTGCATGCCGCTAGAGGGCGGCTGCGAGAGTGCGAGTGACAGATGGGCGGGTGCCAACAAGTAACGCGTTCCGCATTCTGCATGTCCCAGCGTCCTGATCACCACCTGTAGACCCGATATACCGCCATCCGCCACCATGCGTTCCGATGTCTTGCGCAATTTGAAACGGGCTTCCATCTATCATAAAAATATACTGAGATCATCACATGACCCGTATTATACCCGTATCTACATCCTATTCTCATAACAAAGTGATCTCTCTTATCCTGTTCTTGTCAACGTAAGATAAAACTAAAATGCTATATTTTTAAACGAAAAAAAAAAATGCCAATGGTTTGTTTTCAATAACACCATGTTTTATACATTAATTAATATTTCTGTATTAGAAAGAAGTGCAATGGACGTGCATTTATCGGCAGAAAGGCCGAAGGAGGCAGAAGAAAAGAGTTATTGGTATCTGAACTACCGCACACATTTACGCGTCAAATCGTCAGAATTTTGTCATTTACATCGTAATTTTGTTTCGTCTGTCTTCTTCGGCTCAGATTAATCTGCCATTAAGCCTAATACGCCACTTACGTTCAATACAAGTGCGTCGCATTTCTTCGATTCTAGTGACTCGACAAGTAGTATATCTGGCTGTTCAATCTTCACATTAACCGTCATCATTGACACCTTCTGCGGCTCACTCACCGATGGTGCCGAAGCCACTGAGATTTTCTTCTTATGCTAAAAGAAATGCTCAATTATTTTCTTTAGTCAACGAAGTTATTAAATGATTGCATTATACGTCATAAGAACATTTATCTACACTCATATCGAAAATTCGAATTACGAATTCAAAGACGATTCTATAAATACGCACTTTATAAACTCAAATACATAAAATTAAAAATAAAAGTCATTATAGTATCGCCAACTGTATCATAATAGTTATTTAAGATACAAGTGCGGAAAGAAATTCGTGCCAATGAAAACCCTCGCTACGCTCGTGTTTTCAATTTGGCCCTTATTCGTAAAACCTTTTACGCTCAAGTTTCTTACAACATTTTTCGATGCTTTTTGCGAGGAGATAAAACAAATATATATGTCGATTCATCGATTGTACCACGATTATTCGATATTGATTCCTAAACGAGAGTGAATTATTATTCACTCTGGCGAAACGTTAGACGGTCGGCTATTATGTCGTGATTGTTTGATTAGAGGCGATACAGGTCGGACGTCATCGACGGAGGGTGTGATCATCGATACTTTTAATTTTATTAGTATGGTAACACTGACTTTGATAGTTCGTTAACAAAAAGCAAATTGCCGCCATTTCGACAGACATTCTGTTTCCGATCGTCGAGGAGTAAAGACATCCGACCACATCACGCTGATCTCATTATATTTTCGTATGAAAAGTAATAAAATGGAATAAGTCCACATTGGTATACACGCCTGCAGTGTTATTTTAAAGATAGTCCTCCGATATGGACTTCGTAATAGCCCCCTGGGACTACCCGCTGCCATATAGGTTAATAAAACTAAGTATGTATTAAAGGTAAAATTATTTGTTAAAATTAAACGTGATATTTGAACATGTTTTCGTGTCATACATTTTTATTTGAAAATATTCGTTCTAGGCTCCTTGAAATACTTTTGCCTAAAGTTTGTCATTTTTCATTAAATTTGTTTAAACTTCTTTGGTGTTGTGCAGTAAAGGATTTCAGTACATTTTTAAATAATAGCGCTTTATGAGCAACTGCATTGAAAAACTCATTATAGTACCGCTATCTTTTTTTATTCATTAAATTAGTGATTGATTGAAATGATTTCAGACTGAATATGAAAAAAAAGGGGTACGCATGCGCAGTTCGAACTATGAAAAAAATGGCGCACGCATAAATTACTTCCTTGTAATCTACCTACTTTGAATATAATAATTTCATATAAGTGAAGATAAAGTAGTGTATGAAACTGCATATAACTAAGGTATTAAAACACTCGAATCAACCTATTATCGACTCAACAGACTCCGGTGTTTTAATACCCCTTCTTATATGACAGTTGCATAAACTACTAATAGTTTGCTCAATTTCAGCTCGCTTCGCGTATAAGAAAAGCGACCTACGATCGAATTTAGCAGATGAAATATAAATCAAGATTTAAATATTACCACACTTTCCAAAGATTTCTCAGTCGATTTAACAATTTTGATTTCTTCCTTGTCAGATTTAACAGCCGGCGAGTCTTCTGCCATCCCAGTTGTCATAAATTCCGCTATTTTATTCAAGAAATCCATTGCCAGTATCAGATTGAAGCTGAATATTCTCATATCGACTGCAAATGAAATGGATGAAAACCGCAATATTATGAATTTATAAAATGGTGTTTTTATAAATCTGATATGGCTAAAGAGCATTCTTAAAACAGTTTATATTCCTACTTCCTGATTTTCGCACTAAGGGTTTGTGTCTCCGTATCGTTCTCGCAGCTTATATCTGTACAGTGGAGTCACCTATAACCTCCCGTACTAAAAAACGTAGGAACAATGTATTCTATGGAAATGATAGCAACACTTATCGTTTATTTTGAATGGTCACACAATAACTATAGGTCATTGTCCATTTTTTTGCCTGCCCTAGGAATAATTATAAAAGAAGCAATTCACCACTTTATTTAGTAGTAATATTCTTTGAGTCTAATCTAAAAATGCGAGCCTCGTCAAGTCTTTGTTCAAGATCGACCATGGATAAGCCATTACTTATTAATTTATCATACTAAACTTGTAAATAACATACTGCTATTATTATTATAAAATAGTATTGTATTTTCTACATATGCAGAAAAAAACGTTAATACGTTAAAGCAAATTTATAAACATAATAAGCATGAATTAAATCACATTATTTTTAATATAATTTTAGCAAAGGTATCATTAAGTGTCTTCCCTGGAGTGGTAGGAAAGGAGAGTTTGAATTGTATGAGAGGCAATATTTTTGAAGACTATAATATGTACAAACAAGCAATGCAAAGTTACTGTTATACTTACTGAAAGTATCAGAATTCTTCAGTGTGTATGTTATGTCGATCATACTGCGAATCTTGTCAGTCGCTTCCATTATGGCATCAGTAGATTCATCGGTAGTAGGGCTTGTCACTGACGCGGCTCTTTTGTGGCGACGTTCTAGATACCTAAATATTGATTGCAATCAAAATAACTATGGTAATATTTCTTTCACACTACAATTATATTGATGAAAAAACCTTATAAAATACAAAATCGCTATGAAAACTCTCCTTAAATATATACTTTATGCTGTTTTTAGTATTTGTTGTAGGGACAACAGAAATACATACATCTATGAAAATTTCTACTGTCTAACTTTCAAGGTTTATGAGATACAGTCTGGCGTAATCTTACACTATTATATATAGTTGAAAAAAGTAATTACTTGAGAAAATGTCATAACTAAAGCAAAAAATTTTTACCAACAGACGAGAATTTGAATGAAGTGAAAACTGTTAATAGCTTATAATAATAGTATTCTTGTTTAATTGTTAGAACTATTTGCTTAGGTTATGACAGTTTCTCAAGTAATTACATCTCTCAAGTATAGATACCAGTGATAGTAAATGTGTCCCGTTTTTACTTTTTATGTATGGTACCCTAAAAAGAATGTGTCCTTAGTACCTGGTGATTTTCGCACCGCGCCCGGGACGGGTATCGTCGAGCGTACAATCCACCAGCAATAGTGATGTGTGCATAGATCCATCTGAGAACATCCGCCCCTTCACTGATAGCAAAGCCAAACAGAACCTCGCTAACTCCACATCCTTCACGAATATCATCTCCTCCGACTACATGACATACACGTAAAATTTCGTTAAAATACAAGATTATCTTTAAAGCAAATAATTAATAACTAATTGACTGTGATAAATTGATAAAAGTGTGTTATGTACTTGTAGACGAGGTAAAATATTGGGAATTAAAAAAATTCTTAAACTAATATTTCAGAAAAATAAACATTTTTTCTTGCCTTAAATATAAATCTTTTTTTTTTATATCGACGAAAACGCTGTCCATTATATTTATGACGTCATTGTGAAATGTACACAAAACAGACGCATAGAGTAGAAGATTAAAAGATGTCAATAAAACAAGAACAGTGCCATCTAACGATCAATTTCGTTATAAAATACATAAATAATCTAAGTACAGCGCCATCTAGGAATTTGATTTATATTTATTAAGCACATCTTTATGTCAAATCAGACAGTTGTCGCCACAGTGACGTCACACAATGGCGGGTCGTGTTTCAAGTCACATGACACACAAATAAAAAGTCACGACTTTTAATTTTAAGATTTATGATAATCGTGCAGTTTTAAAACTCAAAATCAGAACCTCTATGTTTATTACAATGTTAATTTTAGCTTTTGTGCAATTTCTTAACTTATTTTTCACTACCCTACTGATTATACATACTTTATTTTAAGCAATATTCGATAAAGTTTAGCAAGTTTCAAGTAATAGTTCTTTATGTTTATGAAATTTTACAAACACCATATAATAATTTTACTTACGCTCACTGTATTCAACAGATCGATGACGAAACTGTCCATCGTAAATGAGAACTTTATTGTAGTTCTAGGCTGTTTAGTTTCTTTCGGTGTAATTAGGGCTACTGTGGACTTTGCTGTAACTTTACTTCCTTGGGTCTGATATTTGACTGCAGTTTTGGAAGACGTCTTAGGCACATTCTCTTTGGCTTTGGTCTCCTCTGATTTAGTCTGACCTTCTTGGAGATTCTGATTTAGAATCTTCATTATACTTTTATAATCACTGTGCCCTACTGTAATCTGAAATAGATACATTTCTTCTAACAATATGACACTACTATCTCTAAACTAAATGTCTAACCTGATATAAACAGTACATGATATTCATTATATACAATAACAGCATGCTGATTTAAACAGTAGCATAATTTTCCTACTGATGCATAGGCCTTTCCTGTATGTAAGTCGTTTATGGCCCGTTCTCCTTATTTGTTCTATCTATAAATATATAGATAGAATAGGCATTTGCGTATATGACATATTTATGTGTCAAGGAATAGAGGAAAAGATATTGATTTGGAATTAGACTAAACTGCTTAGGCGATTCGTAATATTAGGCGTTTCCTAGTTAAGCTATGCCTTGTTCTAGGTAAGTGAAAATAGGTGTTACGTACTTAATAAATGCACTAAATATTTATTATACATTTAACGTTATCTTAAAGCAATGTATTTTTATTCTTATCGCAACGACATCTTAGCACTAATAAATTACGGTAACTAATGACAATATTATACAATGAACAATAATCTGAAAAGAAGAATGAATTTATACTATTTCGATGTTATATCACGAATATGAATGATCGCTAAACACTCACGGCTATAGTCTTTATCCGTCCAGATACATCCAAGTCTGGTAGACTCTCGTACCACGTAGAGAGGCTTCTTTTTACGAGCAGATTGAAACTAATCGGTCTCAGCAGCTTCCTCTCTTGACTGATGCTAGTCTGCGCATCTTCCAGGTGAACACATGACACTTTCATGTCCTCCAGTTCGAGAGTCAGTTCGTCCACAGTAACTTTGTTGGAGACATCCTGTTCACAAGGTTGTTTTTGCATTTTTATTTAATATCGAAGATAATTATATCAATACTTTAATTCATATTAAATTGCCTACTTAACGATTATCAGTATAAATTATGAAATATATTGGAAATGATAATTTATATGTATACAATAACTACACACCTATGTAGAATTCGTTGTTTTACAATAAATACAAATAAATTTTAGGTATACTTTATTTATGCAACATAAACTTGCCATTTATATCTGTGGATTCCGAGTACCGAAACGCAAGAAGCCATGATGGAGCATCGTGTGACGTCACATTTCCATAAACTAAACGTCAACGTCTTCGTTGTTAGTAACATATATTTAACATGTGACGTCAATGCTCGACATGTCACGTGACTGATTGTTTTCGTGTGACAATTTAGATCAATGAATATAAATATGTTTTTCTTTTATTAAAAAACAATTTTTGGGTAAAAATAATGGTATATTATGACCATATAAAAGATTTATACAAGTTTTATACAAAATCCATTGCAGTTGTCTTGGCTAGAATTAGCTGCTTGCTAATGCTCATGTACTGAGTTTTTGTATTTATTTTAACTTAGAGGATAAACCCCAGTTTGCTATTTATTGACTTAAATAAACATGAATATTGCGGAAAGTATCATTCGAGTTCTCAAATCATTCCCTCACATATATTTGAAACTTATCTGCAAAAGTAGTGGGTTGGCGAATATCAAGGAGAGAGAACGCGCGCATGGAAGCAGACTTTACGCATTCATATAGATAACTAAGATACCGACCTATAACCGTAAGAGATTGAAAATAATGTATTCTCTCTGTGAGCGAAAATACCTAGCCTATTATAATAAAGACTGTACTGTAGTAATTTTGATAAATCAACATATCTATATATCTACTGTTACTGTAAATTAAAAATTCTGTAAACTTTTAATGTTCGAAAGTAGATTCCTCCGAAAGTACTAAATTCTTATCTTAGAATCATTTATCAAGACATACTCACAGGCGCATGTATGTCGATGAATTTGTTGTTCAGCGTCATTCTACCTAAATCCAATAGCATAGCGTTACGACTCTGCGAGTTTTCCGGTACGATTATAATAGGGGCCGCAAGTCTAATCTTGAGTGCCAGTTTGGTTGAGTTCTGGTACGCATTTTGTACATTAGCACGCGCAGCGTCCGCCGCCTGAGATGAAGCGTCTATAATAGCTTGCTGGGCTGTTTGGAAGTTATTGAGAAATTCCTGTAAAAAATAAGGGTATTGTAGATAAATTATAATGCTGAACACACACCAAATTAATATGCAGGAATCAATCGAGAATCGAAACGAGATTTGCAATTGAAATATTTGGAATGAAAAATGTAAGGAATAATAAACAGTAAATTCATTTATTTTATTTTGATTAATTTAGTATTATTTTGATATATTTTTTAATTTTATTTTGAAAATGTAGGTATATACATACAATACTACCAAAAAATATGTTAATTCTCTTATGTAAAGTTTTATACATTTATTTAATCACTGAAAAATTATTCTGTGCCTCTAGTGCAGTGGTATCTTTAACAAAAAAAAAAAATTAATGAAACACTAACCAGCATTGAACTGACGAACCAATTGAGGAATATTATCCTAAGACAGTTGATCTGAGCATCGATGGACATGTTAACGTCGCTCTCCGACGGATACTGGTCCAAGTTGAACATCACCACTTGAACGTTGATGACGTCACCGCCCAACACTTTCAGTATCTACCAGAGAAATATTATTCACCAGTCAAAATAAAATCGATCGATATGACAACAACATAATAATGTGCTCCTTATTAAAATATAAAATGTTAAATTCGTTTTACGTCTCGAATTGTCGCCATATAAGGGTTAATGGGCAAATATGTAAAACTTCTAGTCTGAGTACCCTATAATATTAATAAGAAATATTTATTACATTAAAACTTCTTTACAAAGCAAATAAAATAAAATAAATTTTTGGTAGATCGCCAGATGATCTTCAAAATTTCGCCTTCTGATCAATTACATGAATGAGCCACATCAGTTGTATCTTAGTATACTCAACGAGAATTTACTTAAATTCAAACGGAATGGCGGTACTATCTCGACGATATATTGGCACCTACTGGAATATTATTTTTAAACTTGACTTACCTCTTTATGAATGGTGACAGGGTTAAGATCCTCCACGGTGATGGAGCCAATAGTGCAGTCTAATTGCATATATGAACTCTTCATAACCAGTCCAGTAGTGGCACCTCTCAGTTGGACGCTGGAAAGCGGCCGCCTATCCGTTGCGAAACATATCTCTATGGCGTCTATTTTAACGTTCACTTTCATTTGGATGCTTTCGACTTGTCGACGCCGTGATGGTTTTGATACACTTACTAAAATATATAATAGAATTAATTGTCCCTCCTGATCTAAAAGTCTAAATAGCAAACCGTTTACTGGCATTTAAAAATTTATTGTATAACCTAAATCTATTCCATAATAAAAAATCTAAAAACTCTCTAACGGCCTGGAAAGTAGGTAAAGATAGTGCACTTAATTCATGTAAAGGCCGCCCGTGATCTAACCGTTCATTCAGGTTGGTAATTTGTCACCATGTAGGCACAGAGTGTTAAAAAAGCCATTTCATTGGTGCTAGTACAAATTTTATGGTGCAAGTAAATGTATTAGATACCTTTAGATTTAGCCGCGTTAAATTCTTCTTCTTCCATAATTGTTTCTAACGGGCCTGCGTTTGCGGTGCGATCGAATGAACTTTGAACAGATTGTAATCTCGTCTGAAAACATGATTTTTTTATAAAATAGATGTAGAATTGTATTATTTAGATTAGTCGTTTTTAATCTTACTTGATATTCGTTGACAACCACCAAAATTTCTTGAAGGCCCTCTTGATGTAGCAAAACTCGTAATGTAGCGAAATTGAGTTCTATCATCTGTTCCACTGAACCGTAATGACTTCTGAATTCTGGACATTTTTTATCCACCTGAAATAGATTATTCTTCTTTAAGAAATATTTTTCTCAATTAATTTAGTTGATTTTAACAATGCTTTGAAAATAACTAGCTTTTTGCCAGCGATTTCAACTTAGGGATCCACTTAGTGGGTAAAATGTAGATTATATGTCAATTTAAGCTTAGAATTATCTGCCTGCCAAATTTTATCAAAATCAATTAAGTTCTTTTTAAGTGAAAGAAATATGAGTAGTATGAAAAGTATGCAGACGCTATTTCAATCAACAACAATCTCAATTGTTGTTCTTATTTGTTATTACAAAGCATAAACAGAGAGACCACTTTATAAGTTAGATTGAATTAAGTATAGCAATCAAAATAAAATTTGTAAAAATAATAAGAATAGTAAATAAATATAGTAATAATGAGTATAAAATACAAATGCTTACGTTTCTATAAGTGACGGCGAACAGATACTGATTGCAGAGCCAGTCGTCTGCCTCTAACGGGTTCGCCTCTCCTGGCACGTCTACGTCGGGCGTTACTATCATATCTATGTGCTGACAACCAACTCTGTGATGCTGCAGACCAACAGCTCCCAGTCGAACGGTAGCCTCCAGTGTGAACGTCTTCTGAACCGCAGTCAATTCCAACTGGTTCAAGGAGAACACCAAGAACTTATCGTGGGTACCCGACTGAGATATCTTACGGTTCACACTGAGCACCAACTCTGAATCGAAAAAATTAAGTGATTATTACTTCATATGCTGTCAACATAAAGATTGCAATGAAAATAAAATTGAAGATTATTATCTACAATCAATGTTCTACATCTTTAAATATAAACAATATAAGGCCCCATCTTACATTTTTTTCATTTAAAGTAAGGTGATACAAAACTGTCTTTTTTGAACTTAACGTAGTGGAAGTAATGTTGTATATAGATTGTAGTTTGACAGTTTATGGTAATCTGATCTGATTATCACTACATAGTATAAGACAAAGTCGCATTCTCTGTCCCTATATCTCTATATATGCTTAAACCTTTAAAACTACGCAACGGATTTTGATGCGGTTTTTTTTTGTCATAAATAGGGTGATTCAAGAGGAAGGTTTTTATGTATAATACAAGTCCATGCGGGCGAAGCCGCTGACGGAAAGCTAGTTTCCATATAGAAAGAAGTAGATAAATAATAAGCTTTCAAAACTTCAGTTAACTTTTATCAACCAACAAGATTAAGCTAAAACTTCAATTACAAGGCAAACGAACCCTTCATAATGAAAAAAGCCTCCACTTCGGTAAGCTGCACGGATTGCTCATCAGATTTTCTTTGGTTTGATCTAGCCGTGTCTCTTTTCTGCTTCTCTACCGGGTCAAGATACCTTAATAGTGACAAACTTGAACCCTTAGACTCACTTTGCTGAAAACAGAATAATGAGCTTCACTAGCGAGTCCTAGTTTAATAAACCATACATATTTCAATTTAATTGCTAATTAATGTGTCTTACTATGCAATATCTAGAACTTTAATTGCAAATATTATATCCCTCATAGTAATTTTACGGTTACTGTTACTAGATATATAACGTTAACATCTATTATCTATAATTACTATTACAAAAAAAAATAACTAATTATGGAAATATGATGACTCTATGACGCTATTTATTAGTTATATCTACATGGCAGACATATTGTATAAGTCATTATTTAAAAAACGGCTTCGTCCGATCACAAACAAAAGCGGGTCAGTGAAAGCTAAAAATTAAGTAATTATAATAACTATTTGGAATTGCGGCAAGGCAACATGACGAATGTCATGCTTCGACAGGGACCGATAAAGTACCAGAAACGAATAATGTTGAATGATATATTATATTAAACATGTTGGATTCTCCTTGTAAAAAAAACCTTAATTTTGTCTTAAGTTATAATTATCCTGCATTATGTCTACATATAAAGATATTATACGATACGATTAAAAAAATATTAAAGTGTGTTTGGAAACGGACACCTGTATAAAATGACGAATAACAATAAGCCACTAACATATATACGATCCTAATGTGTAAAATTCTAATTATACCATATTTGCTGCAGTTCATTTAGGTACGAAGATGTCTATATGAGATGTCGACACTCAGATCATTACTCGCTACAAAATCATTGACGATGTAAATTTTCAAGCTAAATAGCTAAATTTATTTTTTATTAACGATTACCACTGACTTCGTAGAATTCATAATTTAGATTATGATGGCTTCGCACGTTTGTCAACAGTAATGAACTGTTACACTCGTCTCGAAACTCACAGCAAATCCCCTATGAATATACTTCCATAGATTATACAATCATGTAAAAGAAAGTTCGGTTTTTCTATTGAAATATTTGAAAGAACAAATTATCAACTAATCAGTCAACATGTTCGTACCTACTTATGCTAGTTAAAAGTTAAGATATTTTAAAGTCCATCTAGTATTGCGATTCTACAAATGAAAAAGTGTTCTAAAAATCATAAACAAAAAATAATAAACTCTTTTTATAAAGTTACCACAGAATCGCGTTCTTGACGTTTTAAGAGACTAGGTTCAATGACTTGACCGGTTATGGTATACGCAAATTTGTAGCAAAACACCTTGATGAGAAAATCAAAAGAAAAATAATAAAATAAAAGATTTAAAAAGCTAATCACATTTTTTTATGTTATAAATTACCTTCAATTGTGTGGACTCTTCAGATTGTGGTAAAGGCATGCTTACAATAATTTCACAAAGTGTTAATAATCTGAAATAAAAGTAAGTCGAATTACTATTAGTGTCTATGTCAATAGAAGTGATTGATCAGCACAAAGGTTCTTGAGTAGTGTAACAATACAATTTACACATAGATTTCAATAAATCAATAACGAACGCAATTATAAAATAAGACAAAAGTGAAATGAGATGTAAACACACAAATGTAACTTTAATACCCAGCATTAAGAACGTATATGCTTCACAATCACAATATATTTTTAGAAAACAGTATTAACCATATCATATTGTACAACTCATACACATCTTATAAACCGTGGATCCACTGTTGACACACAGTCAGCATGTCAGTTTACTACAAAAGGTCAATTTTCTTCAATCAATAAAAGATTTAATGTGTTGACAGTTAGGTACAAAATTGATTGTAGAAATTTTATGTTTTGTAGGAACTTCAAGTGCTGCTGTGTCCATTGATAAATTGAACTCGTATTTACCTTCGCTATATAATCTCTAAAAATTTGCTAAAGCAGCCGTATTATAGTTGCTATTTTGTTGCTATAGTTGCTATAGTTGCTATTTACATTCAATGAGCATGCAACATTACGCAAAAATTGTTTTATTGTTTAAAAAGGGTACCTATCCTCAGACGCACTAATGGCAACTTTCTCCAATTCTCCACGAACACGTATCTTGGGTAAGCGCGGATCGTTGGTGATGAGGCACTTATGTATTTGTATTAGCAGATTGCTCGGCTGAAGTAAGTGCAAAGGAGTAGGTTCCTGTGATGCGATCGCCTCCTGCCAGTTCTCTTTAGACTGCGCTATTACGATCTAAGGAAAGGAATAAGTTGTTAACTAACGTTCTTATCTTATCTAATAAGATCTGGCACTATTTGCTAAAAAATATATCAATTATTAAAAAACTTTAATGTGGATATCATCATCATCATCATCATCATCAGCCCTTTTACGTCCCCAATGTGGATATAGCAAAAATAATTTAATTTTGAGAAAAAGTTTACAAAAATATTTTAATTTAAGCCAGGCGAAGTTTGCTGAAGATTATCATCATAAAACACAATATGGTAAATATTAATAGTTTGATCAGATTCTGAAAGTGACAGCAAATTATTACGTCACGCTTCATGAGCGGCCTTTCAGATCATGTGATTTTGACTTCAATATATACTTTTATGAATATTTTAAATGGGTTATCATATAAACTAGCCTTTCCCAAAGTGGGCGACAATACACCCTTGTGGGCACTACAGCCCTAAATGTAGGCGGTAAGAGATCCAGAAAAAAATGGAGGCGTTGCGTAGAGGCTTAGGAAGTGTTAACTTGAGACTCTTGTGGTACCTACTGCGCTAAGGTCTCATTTAACTCTTACGGGTTATAGTAAGTCTCGTTTATAATAAATGTTATATAACTGCCAACCCAATAATCAATTTAATTTGTAGTTATAGTCATTGAGTAGGATAAATAATGGGGGCGCTAAAAAATAATTTATTCTCAAAGAAGGCAGTAGGCAAAATAAGTTTAGGAACCCCTCATATAAACAGTACCTGCATCTCGGTGAGATTGAGAGCCATCTTGTCGTAACTGTGATGGGCGATCTCTTGCATTATCTCTTCGTCCGCTAGTCCGTCCTTGTAAAGTTTATGAACATTTAACTGTTCCTGAGAACGAGGCTCGGACTTTACACTTATAGCACCAAGTTTTACAACTACGCAAGCCTCTTCACTGAAAAAAAAATTCTTTGAAGTGTCATACACAGACATACCCATACACTTTTATTTCTGCTCTATGATGTTAGGTACTAAATAGATAAATATAATTTAATATGACTTTTATAAAGTGAACTTTCAATGAAATTAAATGATAATATCTTAACAATTTTTTTATAGTAATTATTTGATAGTTTATTGTAACCAAAACTAAACACAAATTAACAAATACAATATTTTGTGACCTTAATGCTTAATAATGATTTCTTAAAAGATGTTTTAATGGACAGATTACATTTGTAGTATTTAGTATGTATACTCAAAATAAGAAATATATAAACGTTTTATATAAAAAATATTGGTATATGTTTAAACATATAACATTCACTGATAGGCAGCTTTTCTTACCAATTGTTATTCTATTTGTTTTTATTTTAATAGGGTAGTTTCGGTAGTGAAAAATAAGTTACGAAATGCACAAAAACTAAATTTACGTTGTAGTTAACATAGAGATTCCAAATTTGAGTCTTCAAATCGCACGATTATTTTATTATCTTAAAACTAAAATCCATGAATTTTTGTCATTGTGGCGACAACTGTCAGATTAGTCATAAAGATATGCTTAATAATAATAAATCAAATTTCTAGAGGGCGCTGTTTTAGATTATTTATATCTTTTTATTTCGAAATCAATGTTCTTGTTTTAATGACATCTTTTATTCTTCTAATCTATGCATTTGTTAATGAATATGACGGACAGCGTTTGCGCGGGTGAAAAAAGTTTAGCTTTTGATTTAATTTTAAAGCAAGAAAAAGTGTTTATTTTTCCGAAATATTTTATATATGACTTTTTTTAATTAAAACAAACAGTTACAAGTATCATTTCAAACAGACTAGAATACCCTATTAACATAAATTTTATTATCATTTGAAACTTACCCATTATATTTCCCAGTTTGCGGAACAATAATATATGAGGCGGCAATATCAACGTCTAGTTCTATGAACGTATGATGATGAACGGCATACTGCATGCCTAAAGCAGACTTTTCTTTCAGATCCGATAACTTGTTTTCAGCGGCTGCTTGTAATCTGAAATATTTATAAATATGGCATATTTTATAAAATTAAAACATAATGCAAAACCTTTAAAGTGGTCAATTTAAAATCCACTTTTTTTATCTTACGTCGTCAAAGCTGTAGATTCGGTGGGTGGTTTGAATACATTGACGATTTCTATGACCGTCTGTGCGTCGTATACTATTTGCAATGGCCGAGCTGACACCTTTACTCTTTGATCACATGTGCCATCTGTTATGAAATACGAAATTAGATTAAAAAAACAACGTTTAATAATATTGTAGATAAAGCACAATCTCAAACGAATAGTGTGTTGAAATATAATTGAGAAAATAATATTGAGAAATCAGTAGCTCATACGACGGTTTGTAGTCATCGCCATCTTTGAGATTTAGGGTTCGATTCCTAGCTGGGTAACAAAAACAAACATTAACCCAGTCGAGTGAAGTAACAATCGCGATATAAGTAATGCAAAGAAACCTATTAAGCTTACCGATAGGGTTTGTCTCGAAGATAACATTAAGTAGGTTGACATACTGAGTGACTTCCTTAGACACAACCAGTTGTGGTACAAAATCTCCTTGCTGCACTCCCGTTACAGTGAATGCTTGCATAAGAACATCGACCCTGAAAAAACACAAATTTATAAATTAATCTGTGTTTTATTTTTATTCTAAAGGACTATTCCATTATCTTTTTTATAAAGGATTTGGCAACTTGGAACCACAATAATGAATATTGTTAAGACAAAATACAAATTATATTTTTATTACTATTGTTGAAAAACTCACCTTAACGCATTAGCACTAGGGCGCTGTTTCATATCTACAATAACATTATCGACACAAGCCTTCAGCACTTCAGCTTCATCGTTTACCGCCACTTGTAGTCGATCTAAACGGAAATGGCTCTCTATTGCCACATATTCGGTTGGTAAATGGAGGGGTGCCGAATTTTCCTGGTAATCTATGGCACGGAAAAGCTTCTCTTTCTCTTCTGGGGTCATCGCCTTCTCGAATTGTTTCACTTAAATACAAAAATTCTCTCATATATAAGGATAGAGAAAATATACATTTTATTTATCAAACACCGCACCACACAACATAGCACCTTCGGGCTTTTACCAACTTGTCAATTATCATAAAGTTCATATGAATAGCCTATACAATGCCTGTGACGATCAGCGTCCAGTAAAACTTCCGTTAGATATTGAGCACCTGCTTTATTTTACACCTACTGGCTCATAGAAAGAGGAAAATTGCTATTTTTGAGACGTGACAATATAAATTCAAGATAATAGCACCATTTTTGTTATTATTTTTAATGCACAAAAACTCTATAAGTATATTCTTCCTGTATGGAGTTCCATAAATTCTTCTAAAGATGTCGTGAACACCGCTAGGCGTCATGAATACTTGGGTAAATATTTTTATACAAATACCTAAAATTGATCATTAGTTATGTTATATTGTTTCCAAAAAAGATAATTGACATACTTATGGCGGTACTCTCAGCCAACTCTTCCGATTTGGAACCACCTCCCCACCATCCGCTGAACCAGCCTCGTGATTTATTCGCTTCTGCTTCGAGTTTTCCTAGTCTTTCAACCTAGAAATGATGTCATGAAAATTACTTAATAACTAAAAGAGTTCCGTGACTCTAAAATACACATAATTATTTTGATGAAAAAACTCTAAACGGATGGAAAAAAAAAACCAGTAAAGAGACCGCAACAGTGAAAATTAAATAAAATCTGTAATCAAATAAAAAGATGATGTTTCTGCCAGTTCATTTTTAGTAAAGTGAATATCACAAACTTCATATGTTAATTTACTTACCTCCATCTCAATTTTTTGCCTAATAACAACCAAATTAAACAAATCAAGCTTTTTCTCCGCCTCATTCAGCACACACTGATACTCAGTAGACACCTTTCCGTTGTTGCTAAGTTTAGCTTGATAAGCGGTCGCATAGCTCTTACATAGTCGCCTATGAGAAAGCATGTGTGTCCATTCCCAATTCCTACGTTGGCGTCGTACTTCTTCCTCTAATATACACTTGTAAGCGAAATGCCACCATTCTTTGTAATGACCTTTATATATCTTAACATCTGGACGGTATTTTCTGTAAAGAAATATTCTTCTTAGCAATGCATCATCACAGTTTGCTAAAACATAATTCGGATGTCAAAAAGTCAAAGGAAGTAAGCATCTTCTATGATTTTTGTTTCTTAATTTATACAATTCAGTAGTTTAGTTACAAGACCTCAAAAAATAATAACATATTTTTCAATATAAGATCTTATCAAAAGAACATCTAAATGGTAAAAACGTAAGTTAAATCTAAAGTGGTACTTTTTCGGCGAAATGCTTTTACTGGATCTCAGCCAAATTAATAGTATGACTTCTTTATGGAAACAGTGCCAACAGTTAAGTAAGACAATTTGATTATTCCCTTATAAGAATTTAAGCTCACATAGTAAATCGAAATATATTTTTGATAATTAATTAAAAGCTATCTAACTTAATCTATATAAAAAGGTGATGAAAAGCAAAGATTTGATTATTTCTTTGCATCGGTCCAAATAGAATAGGGTTCAAAACTACTGGACCCATTTTGAAAAAATTATGACCTAAATATTTGGGCATTGTCAAAGATGAAAATGCGTTTCACCAATAACAAGGAGACACGTAACGACTGTGGGCAACGCTTAGTTAGGATATGCATTGTGCGGCGCCTAGCGCTGGGCATTTGCGTAATGTGTCATATACATACTCTTTGGCCATAATAGATGTGTCGAGTGATAAAATCAATTTAGTAAGTTGGAAACAAGGAGTTTTTATATATTAGAATTAAGATTAAACGATGAGATTGTTTGAATTTGCGAACTTTTTATATATGAACTTTGACGACTTAGGTGCTCGTGTAGATACAAGACAAAGTATTATTTTTCTTAGTTTATTACATCAAAATTTAAATTGTTCTTATTGTCTCTTTACGTGTAAAAGTCACTTTGAATTAAAGATCTTTTTCGTTGACTCTTACCTCATATATCTATAAAGGTTTTAAGGCATTCAATAATAATGAATCAACATTATATAAAGATAACAATCAGACAACAGTTGAAGCTAATCTTACGGCACTTGCTAATAGTAGATAGCTACAAACTTATCAAACAATGATACTACAGACAACAGCGTATCGATATTAATCTTGATAATATCAGAATTTTTTTTTAAAATAAACAAGAAGCACTGAACAAACATTTAACCTAGATACTTGACCAAAACTCGTAGTTTTCGTTCTCATAAAAATATTCTAGACGTAGGGTTTACACAAAATGGTCAATTAGATATGAACAGATTCACACACATACCTGTAAGGTACGCCTTTAGCCATCCTATCCATGGAGTCAGCTAATAGCATCATATCTTGATACTGAGCCTTCGTCAAACTCACTGACAGCTGTTCCATGTGGAGACTTAATATAACTTTTGGAATACTAAACTTTGGAGTATCGCCTTCTGGTTTGGGATTCAACTTCAACTTTGCCGTAGCATTTATAGGCCCCAAAGCTGAATAGAAAAATCGGTATTACTATAACAAGTATATGTCATGGTTTACTTTTACAGTAAGTAAACTAACCATATTTATAGAAAGTCGGTTGAGATGTTTTAGTCGCAATCTCATTTTGTAGTCGTTGGCGTATGTCGTTCGGGCTGCTCTTTGAATAAAGTTCCGTTGCTGGATTCCAGTATATAGCCAATCCTTCCAAATTGAGAATCTGTTAATGAAAATTATCCATCAACAATATGTCAGATTAGGTAATTGCTGTTTGTCGGAACTTTGTTTAATCGGGTCATTAATTCAGGAATATAGATAATTAATAAAAAAAAAACATCCATCACCGTCGCACATATAACCTCCTCCTTTTCGATTTTAAAGTCGGTTAAAAGCGCTTCATAAAGAAATAGGTTATACTTTTATAGTCTTAATAATAAACAGGTTTAGAGTTGGAGTAAATTTACGCTGATACTGCCCTTGGTATTAGTCAAAATTCATATTATTAAAAAGCAAAGCACACATTGCAAAACCGAAAAATACAGTTAGTTAATTCTGTAAATACTAAATCAAAGGCAGCAATTCACATTTCTTGTCGGCGTTTGTTCTGCCAGTTCTATTTTAGATAAGACTCCCAAATTTGTAACTGGTGGTAGATTACGGTAGCCAGCAGTAAATAAATAAGTCAAATGTATTTTTAAAATAATTTAATTTAATAAATGTAATATATTGCCATAAAATATAAAGTCTTATGTGAACAAGTAACCTGTAAAGGGTCTGAAACGTCAATAAAACTAAATACAAGCACGATGAAACCGTTTAAAAGTTGTTTTATTTATAGAAATTAACATTTTCATTTTTAACGAGAAAATCACATGTTTATTCAGAGAAATATCAACTTAATTTAATACATATTAAAGGTCAAAATAGTGTTCCGGTTATGATAGAGTGGTTTCTAATTTATTCCAAATAGAAGTAATGATTTAAATTTACAAATGATACGATTTAAATAAAAAATAAAAAATTAACTGCTCTAGGCACTTAAGTAAGTTGTGAGTGTTAAAGATTTGATATTGAAATAGGTTAATATCGTTTCCAAATTAAAAAAAAAACATCATCTTCTTCACCAGCTGGAGACAAGTGTGGATGGAATCGAATCGTATCTAATCGAATAAGGAGAACGGGCCTCCACGCGGATAAGTGGGTATTAACGACTGCAGACGCAGCCAAGACCAACGGCTTAACGTGCCTTCCGAAACACGGAGGAACTCGAGATAGTAAATTTTTGGCCATCTATCTTGTGACAGGCCCTTGTGAAAGTTGTTTAACTTCCGCATCACATACCGAACAAGCTAAACACAGTATTATAAATTTTTATAATAACAGGTACTCACCTGTTATTATAAAATTTATAATAAATCAAACAATGGTTTGTGGTTTTGTTACCTTGAAAATTTTAGTGACAGCTTCCTGTATAACAGTCTGTTTCCAATTCTCATCGGTTGTGTGGACGGAGAGATTATGCAGAGTTATACCGAAAGAGAATGGAGCTTTCGGATTCGTTATACTGTCCTCGTAACGGACATGTATATCTGTGATTTTAAGCTGTACATTCTTAATTATTTGCGTCACTAGCTTCTCAACAAAAGTCTCGTCTAATTTATTTTGATCTAAAACAATACAAGTGGTTAGAGCGTATTTAGAGAGAAAATTTAAAAAGAGAAAGAAGAACCCAAGTTTCAAAAATTAACTCAAGAATCAAAATAAAATTAACATAATAAAATATAATATCAGCTGTTTCGTGTATTTTTTCTAAGATTTATCGTCTAGCCGCTAGATTACAGACTAACGTAGATTTAGTAAGATTAGATATAGTTAATTGTACTAAAAACGCGTACGACCACTAAAGAAATGTTAAATATGCTAAACAAAAAAATATGATAGCCGTAGGCAATGACGACTGAATAGACAAAAGCGACACTTAGCATAATTTCAACAAAAGATGCTGGCCCACAGTTTTTGTCACGCTGTGGTTACAACGACATTGCACTGCAGAAATTATCTCTGTAGCAAATACGTAAACTATACCAGTTAAACTTGTGACAAATTATTATCAATCTTGTTACTTGTGACAAATAAATTAAATTATATCGTAATGAGAGAGCTTCTCTTTAACTTTAGGTCGCGCTACCCTGTAATATAGTTATAAATAAACCTTTCTCTGCTTCCCGTTTCTTCGCTTCTTCAACCCTCGCCAGTTCTGCCTGCTTAGAGGCCAAAGCCATCTTTTCTTCTTTCTCGGCATCGTATTTAATTTCAGCAGTCGGATTGACGATCAGGAATAGTCGATCTATCGTCGCCTCCACGGATGCTCCGTATAGATTTTTCCATGGTATTTTAAGTACAAGTTTTCCTGTTGAAAAAATTATCACAGTCTGAATTATAAACCATGATAATGTAAAAATATTTATTTTACAGCATACACTAACAGCTTACAAGGAAAAGTTGATTAAAAACGGTCAAATTGATAATATACAGGAATTATTTTGTATTATTTTCTATTTCGAGCCCCATCACAAATTCTATGTAGTCGTATCACACCTCTATGTCCTCCTTGAAAAAATCTGTATTGGGTTTAAATTCACCGGTAGCCAGACTTTCTAAAACTTTTAATTCCTGTAGTGATTTACTTGATTTACATTTTGACTCATACTCCACATTCCATAAAAAATTTCTAAAATATTATAGCAAATAAAGTCAGTATTATTCACCTCATAAAATAATAATATTAACATGTTTCATTTATAAAAAAATATTAATATGGCTTATTATGTATGTCTCAGACCAAATAAAAAGTATAGACGGAGTTTTGCCTAACAGAAAAGTGAAGCCGACAAAACTACGCCTCGGCGTATTCGTACACAGTTTCACGCACACATACATAATGAAACTACGCCTTCCTTATCAGTTTAATTATAGAAAGTGTGCGGAACGTTTCATTATAAAAAAAAATCTAAAATTTCTTAGTAACTGCAGAATTGTGTTGTAAAAGGTTGTAAAAACCAATCCTCAAAAAAATAAAAAGCAGGATGGAATCACATTTCACAGATAAGTATTGGAGAAAACTTACATTTTCAGTAATTTAAAAATAAAATTTAAGTAATTGCTTGGAACACAAAACCTCAGTCAAATATTACCATCGTTAAACGTTATTATTTACCCCGAAATTAAGTAACTTTAATTTTATAACGCGTTATTTCTAACAAAACACAAATTACGTTATGTATTTATTTCTTGTTGTATGGAAATGATATTTAATAAATTTTGCATTGAAAATGTTACATAGAGATCCAGATCACAGATATTGAAGTGTTAGAATAAGGAAGTAAAAAATAAAAAACGGGTTTAATTTTTTACTTCTTTATTTTTACTAAACGGGTTTGCATTAATTTTTAGATTTCCAAACCGACATCAAAAAGTGAAAGGGAAATGGATTTCAGTAATTTGTAATAGTCGAAATGAACCTTCATGGAATCCAACTTCGTGCAGCGTAGTTTGTTCGACTCATTTTTAAAAGCTATGATATGTATTTTACTATAAAAGGGTTACGTCGAATAAAGCAAAACTCATATCTAAACTTTTCAAACTTTCTATATATTAAAATTTTAGTTAACATAGTGGAAGTTTTCAAACTTAACTTAAAAATTAATTAAATAGTCTCTCTAATGTATGGCCTCCAATAATAATTACCTACTCTTAAAGATTTTAGAATATCTATGCTGATATTGACAAACAAATTTACATTATATTATAAAATAGCATAGCGTTAACGTTAATTCTATAACGTCATAACGTTAAGTTACTGGGGTGTTTTTAATGACTATGGTCACACCGGCACGCACACTACAATTGCTAAAAATCGGCTTCACTTTGTTATTCAGCGAACTCCGTCTTTACTTTTTATTTGTTCTGAGATGTATGTATTAATAAATTTTTGAACATATGTCTGTAATTAATTAATAAATATATAGATACTGTAAGCTCAGTAAAAGAACAAAAGAATATTATCAATATCATTTTATAAACAGATGTTGGTTGGTCAATTAAATAAAGTCCTACAAAGCATAGTTATTCTTAATACATTAACAACTTCCAGTTTCTATTAGGTTCAGTCAACAGCACGTCAGACTATACAAAACTATCCAATTTCCCCACTCAATTTTAAACTTTAATATATTGTGAGGTTAGACGTCAAAATCCATTGCAGAAATGTAAAATGTTATAGAACTCGGCTCTTTGATTAAATACGTCACATTAAATGTTTGGTTGATATAAACTGAGTTTTATAAAAAAATTTAGCTAATCTAATATAAGTAAAACGAAAAAATGTAGTATGGCTAAATATAGTGCAGTACATTATTATCACATGAATAAAATTAAATTCAACTGTTGACCTTCACAATCACACCGCATTAACACAATCAAAGTTGATGATTTGAGGTCATGATGTCATCCAACCTGAACTTTATCACGTCATAACAATTATAGGCTACTGTCGGCAACATGCTAAAGTGTTTTGGTAACCTTGAATATTTTGATAAGCCTATTGAAAAGGATAAATATAATTTTGATTATTATAAGGAATAAAATATAATGAGGAAGTATTTAACAATATATATATTAATTTTCGAAATCAAACTAGATGTCGCTACGGTACTTTCTTGATTTCTCCATGACAACCCTTCCGGTTTTCTTTCATGTATAAAATAAAAGTAAATAAGTTTTCAAAACTCAATAAACATATTCTATTTGAACTTTTTCGAACTTGTCTATCTAAGTTTCGAACTTTGCAAATTTCAGTTTTTTCATATGTAAGTTAAAAGGAGCAGAAATGACTATCTTTAATCCATTTGTTTCCTGCAACAATCAACTTGCGCTAGAGTCGCCATCTAGTGAAGGTGCTTTCTTTTTATTTTTAAATACTTCCTCATTCAAGTGTGTGACTAAATAATAATAATAAAATCAAAAATAAAGAGCCTATTAATAAATTAACCAATTTTTAACTAATTACATTAAAATCTCGTACCATATATTGGTGACCCAAAGTTGTCACGTAGGTATGTATGTATGTCACGAAAATAAATTAATTTTAAATCTTTTGAGTGTTAAAAATTTGAAATTTTGTTTTTAAAAAATAATTCACATATTTTGATGATAAATATTTATGAAATTAGTTTAGAAAATTGATGAAAAGTGACCATATAAGCTACCTATAATTATTAATATTTTTTATATAACAAATAATAAGGAATATGCAGATTTTTGGAAAATGTTTTTTGAACAAATTTTAATCTTCATTAAAAGATTAATTATTGTAAAAATATTGTAAGGTCATGGGTTTGAGTCCCATCTAAGAGTGCCAGGAACAAAGTGGAATTTTAAGCATTCTTCAGTATAGCATTGTTAATGCAAAATTTATCAAATGTTATAATAGACATTTTTAATAAATATATAGTTTACCAAATTGGTCAAATACATATAAAAACCTAAAACATTGATTAAAATGTTATCTGTTGTTTTATAAAATATACTTAATAACTCTTATATATTAACTCTTTTTTAAATCCAATGTTTATTCCCTATAATAATTATTTATTCACATTATCCTAATGTGACTTTCAGAGTGTGGGCTTAATTTTATTATATACCATGATTTTTTTCCGCATTGCAGGAAGTTTCAGTATGTTGCCTTGGCTGTTTGGACTAGGATTAAAATTAAATCTAGGCTATTTTATACAATAGTGATCTCATGTAGCATACCCAAAATCAAGTGAGATGAAACACAAGAATTTTGGAACAGGAGCTTGATTTTGCATAGCGTACCAATGTTAAATATGAATTCATAGAATGGTGGAACAAATCAGGTGAACTAGTGTAAATGAAGGAATTTGATGACCTCTATAACTGAACATATCATAAAATTATACCCATGCAGTTGATTATGCTTAGTTATAATTTTGTACTTTTCTGTTTTAAATTTAAACTTTGTTTAGTTTCATTGTACGGCTAATTAAGAAACAGCTTCAAGAAGCAAAATTAACCTGAACCCCATATATTATTTCTAATTTGTCTCAAGTTACAGTGGTAGTGATACCTCTACTTCAGATATTACTCTCTATATTTAAATTAAGAGTATCAAAATACCAGATCACCTCTTGTAAAAATTAAAAAACTTACTAATTTGAACTTTAACTTAGAAAATCATGCCACTAATTCACATGTACAGCAAGGTATCTGCTTAATAGTTTATTGTTGAAGACCATCGGTCAAAATTTGTTTAATTTTTATAGAGAAATTTAGTTTTATTTAACAACATGGACAGATTCTCTGTGATGGCTTATAGTACAATTTATAACTTAATCAATAAGCACTCACCCAAATGTCCATAGACAGTTTGAACTGGAATATTAAGTTCTTCCAGGGCATTCTGTTTTAGTATCAAATTTTCTAATACTACATCGCCTGTAATAAAAACATCGACGACATAAATAACCGCTATCAAAACTGGGTAAGAATGACATCATGCAGAAGTAAAAACACATACCGCCCCATATTCCAAGTTTTAATTGGGATCGATTCAAATTCTCCACATAATCTCCGAGAAATCGGTTCAGTACATCTACTACAATTGACTCAAACACCATTGTGAATTATTTTTTAGAAAAATGTTCTTAGCAGTATGATTTTTGCTTTTTATTCGTTAATGTATATAATGTTCTGGTTACTCATTATGATAATTTGATTAATCACCCACATGTAATATTATAAGTATTACAACGCTTTATAACGAGAAATAAAATCAAATAATATCGTAAATAAATTCAAATTTTATTTCACAATACGAGATCACCCACCAAAAATCAACAGCGCAATATGTTGGTGTTACAATTACAATACAAGAAATTACCCCACCATTTACCCTTACTATAATAAAACGGAGTTTTAGATGGGCACCGTTACAAGAAGTATGATGGCCGAGTGCCAAAGCAAAGTAGATTTTGAAACATTTTTCATTTAGAATATTTTTCAGTATAGCATTGTGAATGCGAAATTGATCAAAAAAATAAAAAGTCCTATATTATTACGTTAAGGTATAATTTTAAACAGTGCTCATTCCCTGCTGAAGAACTGGATGCGTTATGAAATTTTCTTTAAGTGAGCAAACTTTTTATTATACATACAATTAAAAAACGTTAATTACTGAATAATATAAAAAAAAATATTTTCAAGAAACGAAAAAAGCTACAAAAGGTTTCAAAGCTATAAATAACCAAACATCTCACACACACACACGCGTTTTTTTTTTTCCCAACTTAGTTTTAAAACAAAATACTTTCGATTTTTTTGTTTCAACTTGAATAATAAAAAACCTAATTTTAAGCGTTTCTTTAATCTCCTTTACACTTTCTGACATAAAAATACCCTAATCACATTTAAAAATTCTTATGATAGCAACACTGAACATTGTCATTTTTCGTATGTCAAGTCTGTTTATTTGACAGAGGGATCTAGATTTTGCTGCCTTTTCTTAAACAATTTTTTTACTTGCCGTACACTAAGAGGTATTTTAGATCTCTTTGTGCTAGCACATGAACATTTAATGAGGTCATGGAATGTTATTTGGGAAAATACTAGAAATAGAGCGGGAAAGTATTATTTTGACATTCAGAGAACTATCCCCAGTACTCCCTGGTTCTTTAAGGAGAAGCTTTTAAGTAAAAAAACTATTTCAATTATTTGTCGTCTGAGAATTGGACATGTGTGTTCCCCAGTTCGACTTGCCAAATTTAAAATTAAAGACAACCCCCTCTGCGATTGTGGCATTGAGAAAGGAACTACGGATCATATTTTATTTAATTGTCCAAATTTATCCATTTCACTTTATGATTTGCTTCCATCAAAAGTTCCACGTCCAACAAATATAAAATGTATATTGAGTATGGAGAAACCCAGCCCATTCAAAAATTTATCTAAATTCCTTGCAATCAATAATAGTCTTAATTTATAAATATCTTTGTTTTCTATATACATTCTATTTGTATTATCTTTAACCCTTAACACCACTCGGTATTTTCAGCCTACATATCTACACTCGTGGGGGAGCTACGTCCCCACTTTTTATGGTTATTATTCAAGTAATAAAATATAGGAAATTTTAGGATTTATATTTATAACATAAATAAAAAACATATATTCTATGAAAATAAACACTTTTATTTAGGTTTCATAATCATAATTAATATTTCTAGTGTGAAATAAAAAAACTATGAAAAATCTCGTCACATTCATGGGGTCTATTTCACTGACTCATTATATATAAATAAAAAATGCTTTGGAACAAAAAAAAATTTTTTTTCTAATAACCTATATTACTTTTTAACCAAAACAGTCATAAAATCTTGAATAAATTTTAAAACATGCAAAATCACAAGGAGAATATTCGACTTAGTTTACCAAAAAAAATTTACCTTAATCTGTTAACATATTATCAGTCTCATTAAATTACTATCAAAAATTTGATTATAACGTACTTAAAACTTATGACTCACATTTAGTACATATTTTTACATCAACAGAGTGGTTCCGACAAACATTTTTCACACATTTCAAACAAACCCTTGGAGTATTACTGTATTTGCTTCGTGGACACAAATGACACCTAGATTTTTTAGCCCCTTGCTTTGGCTCGGGTCTTGTTTTGGTTGATCTTCAGCTACATCAACACCAACCTCTTGTAGGAACCTGTCCATCATATCTTTCAGCTCCCTCAAAAGGTTAGAAGAGCGTCTTCTTTCCAGAACATGAGGAGTTACTAAAGTATACCCAAGTTCTTCTAAAAACTTATAACGACTCTTGCTTTTGTGAGGATTAGATGCGCCGTAAAGGACATGACTGTTTACTCCGGAAATACTGGGCAAAATATTGTGGTCGGCCATGTTTGACTTCTCTGGTTCACAGAGTAAGCAGCACACTTCTGGTCTAAAGCATCTACGCCACCTTTGGTAGAATTGTAACAATCTCGGGTTTTTTGGTTTTGGTTTGGTCCATTGCTATACGTCATTACAGTTATACTGACGTCATTTAATAGCCTTTCTATCCATCATTTAAATTCTTACTCATACTGCACCAAAAACCCAAAAATGTAGATATAAAAGATTATTATCAACATTAAATACTTACGTAACTACACTCATGGGGGACCTAGGTCCCGCAACAACACGTGCCTCACAAACTTCCAACGCTAGCACGACGTACGTTTGCAGACCAACAGCTTTCAGGAGTCACTAGGAATACTCGAAACCGCGACCGCGTCGCGTTCAAAATATTTGTATAATTTGTAAAAAACAGAGCGCTGGGGGACCTAGGTCCCCCACGAGTGGTGCTAAGGGTTAACAATGTAATCAGATAGACGCGCTCAGAGCTATTTTTTTTATTTTATTTAAATTCAAAATTAACATATTTTGTTTCTATACGTGTAAAGACCACAAACGTGACATCGGCAGAATTGTGTAAATGCAAATGGGCCATGAATTAAAAAAGAAGAAGGCATTTTAGTATAGGTATATTTTGTAGGGTAAAGGTAGATCAATAATATAATTTGTAAACTGTAAAAAAGATCTTTACCACTGAAGTAACTGTTTTATTTGTCTCAAATAAATACTGAATTATTGAATTAATAATTTTTTATTTAGGTATTTCACAATTTCAAGTGCAGTCGCATCTATGAGCAATCTGTCATTCTGACATCTCCAAAGGCGGGCTGTCAACTCACTCTATTTTTAAAAATAATCTATTTGGGACCTAGCCCATACATACAACACGCTGTCTTTAAACAATTAATGAAACATGTAGTACATACACATCTACGATATTAATCAATTAATCTAGATAACAATGTGTCAAACACTTTTGTTTTATATTACAATATTGAAAGATACATAATCAACCTTTTAATTTCTTATCTTATTATTTATACATTTTTAACTTCTTAATAGTTAATAATTAGTCGTCTAATCAAGAATATAGTTAAAATATAAATCACTCTTAATTTTAACATACTTACCTATAATAATACTTATGAACTTAAAACATATTATCGTTAACATAGATCTTTACTTAATTAACATACATAATCTTGTAAGAGGGTTTCTTTGTTTCCCTCTTAGGTTTATCATTATCAAAAATAGGTGAACTAGAATTAGATGGAGGAGATACAACTTCAGTAGGAGTTGAATGAGATTGAATATCAGGTGTTTCTTGTGTTGAATTTAAATAATCATTATTAGTATTTGAACTATGATCTAGGTTATCATTGTTAAGTAGTGTTGTTGTCACTATTTTTGTGATAAATATGGGTATTGTGTGATGAATCAAATGATTGTGGACGGATATGTAGTCTCTTCTATAAGTACAATCATTAACACCAACCAGATAGGATCTGTCTGAAAGTGCATCTGAGACTACACCAGGAGACCAAGTTTTGTTTGAAGAAGGATTAATTTGTACCGAAACCGGTTGACTAATTTCTAAAGGAATTGGCTTCTTGGCCCGTTTATCGTGTATATGTTTTACCCTTTCCTTTTTGCTTTTAATTTTTTCAAAGACATCATTTATTACCTTTGGTTCAAGCAATGCTTTAACAGCTGGTAGGAAACCTCTTGTTCTACGAGAGAATAATCTTTGCACTGGACTGGAATTCAACTTATTAGGTGTATTTCTTAAGCAAAGAAGACTGAGCCAAAAGTCTTCACCATTTTCTGTAGCTTTTAGTAGTAGTTTTTTTTTTGCTATTTTAACCGTAGCTTCTGCCTTTCCATTTCCTTGGGGATGATGAGGAGAAGTCACTTGAGTAAAATTCCAGTCCTGACTGAACTGTGTAAAATCTTGATTCACAAAGTCAGTACCACCATCTGTTACTACTATTTCTGGAATTCCATGGCGTGAAAATTTTTTCTTGCAGATTTCAATAACCAGTTTGGAAGACAAGTCTATTAATTTATCAATTTCAAAATAATCTGAAAAATGATCAACTGATTCAGCTGCTTACCATTATAATTAAAGAAAAAGACGTCCTTTGACACTATTTGGAATGGATATTCAGGTATTTTGTGACTTTGCATTGTTAGTTTTTGTCTACTAGATTGATATTTAATAAAAGGGAACAACAGTTAATCATTTCTTTGATATCATTAGACATAGATGGCCAGAATATAGCATCTCTAGCCAATTATAATGTATTTTCAATTCCCGAATGTGGTCTATGCAATTTTTTTAACATATCTATTCTTAAACTTTCAGGTATAGCATGGTTTTTTAGTATGAGTCCCTCATAAACTATTAAGTCATCTTTGAAACTATAATAGGTTTTGATAGCATCTGGTATATCCCTTATATATTTTGGCCATCCATTTTCAATGTAAGATTTTAGTTTTAATAAATTTTGATCTTTTTGTGTAATTGTTTCAATTTCCTTAATGCATTTATCAGATATTGGTATGTTTTTCAATGGATTTACATTTTCGATAATCTCCAAGATTTTCATTTTCTTTGACTTATCTACATCCTTGCAATCCAAATAAAATCGCGACAAAGCATCTGCTAAAATGTTTTGTTTTCCTGATATAAATTGCAACTCAAGACTGTA